GTAGGCCTAACTGGACTGAAAGGTGAAGAATTGGTTTTTGCACCCTCTGCACCTATTATAGTGCATGTCACAGAGTAGGTACTCAAAAACATGTTTAATGAACAAGTTTCTTTTTCAAATTAGGCAAATACGCACGAGCTTAATACATGGCAGGAAATAAACACTCATTCCTACCTCACAGGACCAAAATGCATTACTGGCATGGGAAGGTGTTTTCTAAATTATATTTGATATGCACACGTGAGGCCCTTTACATTGTTAGAAGAGACAACCTGAGAAATACTTTATTTTGAAATAAAATACACACATGCAAAGTTAAAATGAGCTGTTTTTCTGTTTCTGAACATTGAGTCAACAGGATGTGAGACTGGACAGAATGACAGCTACTGACCAAGACCTAGTCAGAACTAGTATGAGTGACACTGAAAGAATGATCCTTTAGTGTCCCTTTTAAGGTATCCCAGGACCACTTCTATCACAAACCCTCAGAAGCCCAGACCACTCCGCCTTGCTTCCCTACAATGGTCACTCACGCTCGATGATGCCACTAATGTAATAACTGAAAATGTGGGCCAGTTTGTCCAGGTCATCTTCCGGCTTGCAGGTCAGGCTGAACCTGTCCATTAATGCTGTAAACCCTAACCAACAAAGCAGAATTTATTAAGTTAGCTGAAGACCCTAAACTTTTATTCTTCCACATATCAGACCAGGGTGAAGGAAGCGGATGTCTTGGGCTTTAGCAATTCCATCATCCTTTAAGGTGGTGGGCAGGCAGAGGGCTGCTGCCTCTGGGGAAGTCCGGGGCCACTGCTCCAGGAGCTGCAGATGGTGAAGCCACCCGAAAGCCCCTTTCATCTGCAGCCAGCTTCCCCTCCCACCATTCTCTAAGGCCCCCTGGCCAAGGGACCCACAGGATTTCTTCCCACGTGAGACAGGCAGCACAAGGGGAACACACTCCGGCTCTCTGGAGAACTCTTATTTTGAACTCTTGGAACCATCATCTTCATGATGGATGACAGCTACACTCCCTAAACACCCGTTAACTGGGCAGACTCTTGGTGTAGCTGCTCGTTCTCGATGGTGGGCACATACTTGTAGACCCAAAGAATGAACTGAGCAAAATACAGTAAGTGGGCGAGGAAGAGTACTTATTGGAAAATGCTCGGTACTGAGAGGATCTGGGTCTCAAAGTCGGCCATGTGGCCCCGGACAAGTGCTTTCCCCTTTGAGTCTCAATTTCCTCCTTTGTGAAGAGAACCCCTGGGCTAAGCCAGATCATCCCTAACGGGGTCCTCCTGCTCTGAAACGGCGGTTCCCCGGGCGGCTGGCGGTGAAAGCGGCTCCGGGACCGAGGCCCAACGTCCGCCGCCCGGGGCGGGCTGGGAGCGGCGCGCCGGCCCTGCCCTCACCCGTCACGTGGACGCCCAGGAGGACGCCCGGGGCCGAAGCCAGCTTGGGCTCCTGTGCCAGCGGCTTTCTGAAGACCAGCAGGTCTGGAAGTAGCGCCGCCAACCGGGCCTCCACCGGCGACCGAAGCGGCGCCCTCACCCGGTCGCCGGTCGCCATGACGGCGGGCGGTGTTGCCCTCCGCCCTACCGGAAACAAGGCCCCCCCACCCCTCCAGGAGTAGCAGCCAATTAGCATGGGTCCTGGAGGCCCCGCCCACCAACCAATCAGTGCGGGCTTCCCCGTGGCAGCGCCAATCAAAAGCGGTACTGCCCACCCTAGCCCCGGCTTCCGGGGCAGCTATAGAGGACTTTCAAACATGCAACGCCCTCGTTTTTCCATGAAACATGATAGTGAAGATGCTTTTACAACAAAAGATCTGTGATCAGGATTAGTAGATGGTCTTTGCATCATATCACGGGTGGAAACGGGTCATCTCTGAACTTCTAAGGACAAGTTCCTTAGGCATCTGGCTGAAGCAAACTCAGGATGGCTTTTAAATTAAAATTATTAAGGCTATTTTACTCTTGGCCCATTTCAATTGTTAGGGGAGAGATTCTTATATTTCTGTGGCCTGCCAGGGTTGACCAATTGGGTCTCTCTTGGGAGGGTTCCCTGTGGCTGTTTTTCTCTTAATTCCTGACTTGTAGGATAATGATGTACTTAAGTTTCCAATCTGTTGCTCAGATTCATAGAGAACACAAAGCAATACAACTATGAGTACGTTGTGGATTTTTAACAATGAGAAAAGTATTTTTGTCTTTCCTGAAGAAATAAAAACGAAACATTTTTATTTTCACTATAGTTCTACAACACCTAATAATCAATGCCATTTTGGTGGGCTAATTTTATTCAAGGAATTCTTCTTTGCATTTTGATAACACTTCCTTTAAGACCAAAATATATTATCAATCCACAGAGGACAGAAAATACCTATCAGCAGGGTGGGAAGGCCAAAAGGGAAGGAAAAGAGATTTAAGAAGATAGGTAAGAGGCCTGGATACTACATCAATTTCAACATTATAAACCTAGAACCCAAGAATATGTAGACTTCTCAAAATTCAAATTACTTTTTCATAAATTTATTTTTAAAAATAACAATTGCAATGACATCAATGATTAGATCACGTGTACTCCCCCTACCGCTGAGGAGAAAATATATATAATTGAGTCCCCAAGGAAAATCAAGACATTATTATCAGGCACTCAATAGCCAAAAATATTGTTGGTCCAGTGATAATACACACTGACATGTTCAATGTACCAATACAATTAAAATATATACAATTATCCTGCAAAAAAAAAAAAAAAGCATTCATGAAGTAACTATGTATTAAACCAATTATTCACTCATCCATTCACTCTTTCTATATTTAAGTCACCATTACAGTCAAAAGGAAAAATGAATAAAAGGATTTCTAGCAACAAATAAAAAATCCAAACTTTAATCGCCTCACCCCCACTTTGTGGGTTATTATGGTGTGCTAAAAATGACCACAATAAAAGGGCCATGAATTAGCTGAAATGCAATGACAACCGAAGCATTTAATTTTAAGCAAAACTCAAATGCATGAAAAAATTCTGAAACAATGAGGCTGGAATTATGTACAAACTTACAGATACAAATAAATAGCATTTTTGAAATATTGGCTTAAGTACTAGAAATTAGGTCTGAGGAATCTCTTTCTGAACTCTGCACCTTAAAGATTCCTAAACAAACCTAGGGATATAGATTTCTCATTGTTTTTAGGAATCTGTCATTTGACAAATTTGGAGATTACTGGATAAAGTTAACATGTAAAACTCATGTTATGAGCCAGAAGTTTCTAGTGAGTCTACCAAAGAATAAGTCCTCCATTCTGACATCTGGAAGCCAGGAGATGATTCGATTCCAGGAATTAGAAATTTATTTCACTTCCTGCTTTCTTTGCATAGCTCTGTACCTCTATTTAGACCATTACAATGCTTATGTTTTCTTTAGAGAGTGAAATATTTTTTCTCTCTTAATGCAATTAGAGTAAAATATAAAAAGAGCTAATCTTTACTTTTGGTACTTAAGTCAAAAAGAATTAAGTTTTCCTTCTTTGTTCTCAGGTAGGCAGAAACTCTTCTAAAGTATCACCTTCAAGGGTTCAAGATCTAGAAAAGAAATGAGACAACCCATTCTGGGAACTGTAGCCCAATTCCTTACACTATAGGCATCTCTAGATCCAGTCTGTAATTTGTCCCCAAATGTAGATGCAATGTGAAAACGTTGCTGTACAAGGCATGTGGAGAAGGGGGGAAGCAAATGGAAGCTGGCACCAACTAGTCAGCTGCCATGGGAAACATGAGAATGTCTGTTTTCTGGGGCCAGCACAAAGCTCTTGCACGAGTGAAGCCAACATCTATGTTTTTAAATCTAGGAGGTAACCTGGAGAACATCCAGGACAGCTTGATTGAACAGTGCTTTCCAGAAAGTGTCAAAGACCAAATCTCAGACTTCTCTTTCAGTTGTTAAAAAGATTATAATGTAAATTAGTCTCTTCATCTTAATGATCCATCCCAGGCATCCATCAACTGAAGAAATCATGCTATATGACAACACATGGGCATATATATGTATATACCTCTCTCTCCTCTTCTTCTAGGCTGAAACACACACAAACCCTTCTATTTTCCAAATGCTGTCACCAAGCTTATGACTGAAAATCTCTATTTTGCCTCTCTGTTTAGGAGTTACTACAAATGTCCTCAGCACTTCAGCATAGTTGTATTGTTTTATTCTCTACTTAGGAAAGGAAGTTTCAAGGTCCAATACCTTCTAAATTGTCTTATAAGCAGCCATAATAAGAACTATGGTCCAGATGACCTGTCATCAAATTGACAAGCAGACCACAACTGGCCAAAACAAAAAAAGATTCAGCAATTATTTTTAGTGCTTGATTCTTTTATCATTCTATCCCCCGAATTAGCTTTTTCTTGGCTTGGAGTCCAAAAATACCAACCTATTATTCTCTTGGCAGACAGAGATTCTTATATTACCACAGATTAGATGAATGTATCTCAGAGAATTTATTATTTCCATATTATGAGATTGAACTTCCATGCCAGGAAGTCATCTCTGAATACAGTATCCATTCACTTAGCCTGAGATGGTGTTTAGATTCCATGGGAAGGAGTGGGCTGCAGCTTCCCGGGTTGTAGTTTAGCTTGAGAAGGTTTTTCTCCCTTGCTCAGATGGCTGGCTGGCTTCCCCAGTCAACATCTAAGTGCTGTGTGTGGTACTGTTGGGCTGGCATGAGTCCCTTGCATCATCCTAGTCCATGAAACATCAATGTCATCAACAGTCTAAAATAGGTCCGGACCGAAAGGGTGAGACAAAGCCTTGCAACTTCAATTTGCCAGACACTGCTGCAATTATAATACCAAGCCACTTTGAAAAACTAAGTGGGTTTCTGTCCTGTAGAAAAGGGCAGAATGTGATCATCAGTGTCCCATTGGAAGAAGTGATCAATTTCCTGGAACAGTGGTGAGGAACATGACCTTGATCATCTCCATCACATGGCCTGGGGTTAGGACACTCGGATGATCTGTGTCATTGCTTCTTCATCTGCTTGGCTTGGATCCTAAGAGACAAAGAAAGCATAATAATGATTAAAGTACTTTGCAAAAGCAACAGGAACTATGGCTCCCACTACTTTATCACCAAGGGCATACATACAACTTTGCCAAGAAAACCAAAGGTCTGCTTGCAAGTCTGCATAAATGGATTAAATGCAGCTCCATTTGGAAATGAGACAATAAACCTTATTCTTAAAAGGATTAAACATCTGATCTGGCCTGGCACTCCATTACTGAACATTCCAGAGTTCATAGCATACCTATGTTGTGCTCTACCTTTGGTGTTTAAGGGTCCTTAGAGGTGGCTAAGAAAAAGACATAAAGAAGCCATGTCATGCTATATATTTTTTAAAATATATTTTTATTGATTCCAGAGAAAGAGAGAAACATCAATGAAGTAGAATCATTGATTGCCTGCCTCCTGCATATCTGCAATGGGGACTGAGCCCACAGCTCAAGCATGTAACCTAACTGGGAATCGAACCTCCTGCTTCATAGGTTGATGCTCAACCACTGAGCCAGGCCAGTCGGACATGCTGTATATATACAATGAGTGGCCAGATTATTATGATCCTTGAACGCATAATAATCTGGCCACTCAGTGTATATCCTATATATTAATAATAAAAGGCTAATAGGCAAATTGTCCCCTTGATCAGGAGTTCAACCAGCAGGCAGGCCAGCCAAACCACTCATGTTCCCTCCCCCTGGCCAGGCTGGCCAAACCCCACCCATGCACGAATTCATACACTGGGCCTCTAATATATATATATATATATATATACTGAGTGGCTAGATTACTGTGTTCAGAGATCATAATAATTTGGCCACTCACTGTATAGATATATTTTTGGTCATTATTTTCTGCTCATTATATTTAAATGCTGAGCACTTAGCAGAGCTAAGTGACATTGGGATTTATTTACTTTGACGCACTTTGTTAAAAGGTTACAGCGTAACCTAGAGGTTACAGATAAACCGGATGCCTAGATGGGTATAAGTGATTTGCCTGGACTAGAATCAATAAGTTACTCAGGAGCCCAGCAAGAACTAACTCCCAAATTTCTTGGTACCCATTTAATATTCTTTTCACCAAACTCTGCCTCCTGCTTTTCACAACCTACAGCGTTAAGACAAGGATTTGTCTGTGGAAGCTTTCTGCAATTCTCTATAGTAACCACCTTCAGTTCTTTCACACCACAGCACTTAAGTCTCAATTAGCATAATCCAAGGATAAGCTGAAAGATTTCTGAAGGAGGTAGGCCTGGAGCTTGGACTTCATTAATGAATGAGAATACTAATAGTATTTACTGAGCTCTCACAATGCACTAGGCTAGGTAGGTGCCTAATGTGACTTACTGCATGACATTCTCACATTCTTGTGAAGTATCAATAGCACCCCATTTTACAGGTGAAGAAAACTGAGGCTAAAAGAGGCTAAGTAACTTGACTGATGTCATATTGTTAGAAATTTAAGCAAGGTGGTGATGTGATATGATATACATTTAAAAAGATCACACGAAAATATGGCTAATGGACCATAGCAGCGCAAGAATGAAAGAAGGGAGACCAGTAGGCAGCTATTATATTAACTGAACCAAAAGAGAGAGGATTAGACTAGGCTGACATTTGGAAGGGAAAAAAGTAAACGGATTCAGATTATATTTTAGAGGTAAAATGAAGAGTTGGATAATTCTAGTAACTGGTAGATGGACATATTGAGATGAGTGGTTGAGGCATTAAAAACAAACAAACCAAGAGTTCTATTTAATATATATTGACTCATAAATGTCAATACAATAAAATCAGTAGAATTAGATGAAAGAACCAGTTACAGAATAAGTTATGGAATTACACTGCCTGGGTTTGAATTTCAGTTGTTTCCTTTTATAAAGTACTAGTGTCCTGGTGCACGGATTCCTGAACATTGAAAAAAAATTAATTAGAAGAAATATTTTAATATAATTATTTGTGCCTGGCTAATGAAAATAGGATTCTACCAAGTCTCCTATCTACCCTGTTTCCCTGAAAATAAGACAATGTCTTTTTTTTTTTTTTAAATATATTTTTTTTATTGATTTTACACAGAGAGGAATTGAGAGGGACAGAGAGAAACGTCAATGAGAGAGAAACATCGACCAGCTGCCTCTAGCACGCCCCCACTGGGGATGTGCCCGCAACCAAGGTACCTGCCCTTGACCGGAATCGAACCTGGGACCTTTCAGTCCACAGGCAACGCTCTATCTACTGAGCCAAACCGGTTTCGGCAAGACAATGTCTTATATTAATTTTTTCTCCCAAAGTTGCGCTAAGTCTTATTTTCAGGGGATGTCTTATCTTTCCATGCACTAGTTCTTATTTTCGGAAGATGTCTTATTTTCGGGGAAACACGGTACCTACTCCAGGACTTCTGAGGATAAGATGAGATGAAGCATGGGAAAATGCTTCACAAATATTTAGTTGAACTGTAAGATGTTTGCATTTGGCTATAAAGCAGGTTGTGTTCCTGGCTGGGAAACTCCAAGGCTAGTCGTCGCTAGGGAGAGGAAGCTAGGCTTTGCTACGTGACATAATTATAAGGCGCTCATAGCAAACAGTTTCTGGGCTAGGCCATGGGCTGCATTTTCCACTATAGAGTCTTGGCAGCCATAGGCTGAGATTTGGTGGGGTGTCACTCCAGGGTGTGCTGGGGCTTGTGTCCCACTTGGGGGAAGCCAAGTGTTGGTTTATCGGCACCAGGTCCGTAGTGCTGTTTATTTTTTAAATGGCCAGTGCACATCATAGCTACTGGTTGGACGGACAGTTAGCCTTTTATATATAGATTTTACCTTAGGCAAACTTTAATCTGTCTAAACCTTTGATTCACCTGTAAAATTTTTATTTCCTGGAGCTTTAGGTTGCTGTCAAGATTCAGTTGAGGGGAAAAGCTTAGACAATGCAAAAGATTCCACCTAGGAAATACTAAGTAACAAGTCTTCTTACCTGCATATGAGGACTATCCTTTTCTTTCGGAGAGAAAAATCGCCCACCTTCACCACGCTTCCGTGCCATGGCATGACGGTGCCGAGACTCATGCAGATATTTCTAAAACCAGAAATAAACTACTTAACTACTAGCTAGAACCAGCATAGTTACCTAATTCCATCTTCAATGTTTAAAAAAGCAATGATCAAAGCCACCAAAGGCACTTATAACTTTGAATTATGGAGAAAGCTTTAGAGAAAACACTGGAAACCATATATAACTAGCATAAGAAGTAAATGCTAAATAAATACAATAAAAAAGACTCCCCAAAGATATCCCATAGATAACTATCTCTTAATATATATATCCTGGGGGGGGGGTAAGAATGTTAAAATATGTACATAGATAATAATTTAATAAAAAAATGTAAAAGAAAAAAAAAAAAAAGAAAATCAGTAAAATAATACCACCTAAAAAAAAAAAAAAAAAGAAAGAAAAATATATATCCTCTCCTTTGTTTTAATAACAGGCTAAATTTTTGTTGGGCAAATGGCTGCTTAGTAAAAACACTGCATTTCTTTGCCTTATTTGCAGGTAACTGGCCATGTAATTACATTTTGGCCAATAAGCTTGGCTGGTGTGGATCAGTGATTGAGCATCGACCTATATGAACCAGAATGTCATGGTTTGATTCCTGGTCAGAGCACATGACCAAGTTGCGTGCTGGATCCTCAGTGTGGGGTGTGCAGGAGGCAGCTGATCAGTGATTCTCATCATTGATGTTTCTCTCTCTCCTCCTCTCTAAAATCAATAAAAATATATTAAAAAACAAAAAAGTAAACCAGCTATCTATCTTCAGTTGTTTGGAAAGTTCTCAAGGAAAAAAACCATATAAAAGGTTTAACTTATTCCTAAAGTAGAACTTACCCTTCTTTCCTTGGGAATTTTCCCTTCTGCCTCTAGTTTGGCTCGGGCTTGCCTCCTCTTAAGTATGCGGTGATACTGTTTGGCATTCACATAAAGAGGCTCTTCTTCAAGCATCTCTGCCCCAGGTAGAGGGATTCTTTGAATAGCAGGCACAGACCCAGCACCAGGCACCATCTGTGTTGAGAGAAAACCAGTTTATTAAATAGTGACATAAAGTATAGACATAGGAAACAGTTTCTTAAACTGTGGTAATCTATTTTACAGGGCATTCAGTTAAATGCACTTCCTGGAGAACACTTACATTAAATGCGTTTTAAACAAATATTACAAATCTATCAATTGGGGGCCTAGGAGCCACACTTAGAAATAACATAACCTGGTCCAAATTCTTGTCCCTGCATGGCTCCATTCTCTAGGAATGTCTGATGCCATCTAGTCATCCAGACAGTAATCATCTATATATATGATAGGCTAACATGCAAAGTGTCCCCTTGGGAGTTGGAGTAGGAGACTGGGAGTTCTACCACTTGCTATGACGTGTGCTGACCACCAAGGGACAGTGTGGAAATGAAGGAAGGCCCCAGACAGCAGCCAGGAAAGGGAGGTTGAAAGCCAGCAGGCCCCAATCAGCCCTGACCACTGGCTAGGCTTATGGAGCCTACCTGTGCACTAATTTTGTGCACCAGGCCTATTGTATGACAATATGGTAAAACAGTTCAATGGAAAATTGGTAAATTTACCAAGTGCTACTTAATGCCTAGAGTTATAAAACTAATTTAGTTAACTTACTATATAATTTAAGACTAATTTTTCTAAACAAACAAAAATGAAACACTGTACTAAATGTATGAGACAAGTCTCCTTAGCTACACTCCCTTCCCAACGTTAACTTTGAATGTCTGTATTGTTTCTTCTGGTAGTTTCCTCCTCTCTGTGCAGGCTTCTGCTACTCAATTCTTAATTTATCCATTTTAGATACTATTTATAGATATTCTATTTAGACATAATAGGATTTAGATTTCACATACCACCCAACTTTCCTTCTCTATCTTCTCACTGTATTTATATCACACATTTAATCTGATTAATCACTACTATATCTCCAGCACCAAGAATAGTACCTGGCACTAATAGGTCCTCACAATGAATTATAGTTCACTGTAATCTATAGTAATAAAAGAGTAATATGCTAATTAGACCAGATATCTTCTGAAAGCCATGGTGAGGGGTCTGGGGGGGTGGGGAGGAAAGCTTAACGCAGTGACAGTTAAGGGCGATCAGGCTGGCAGAGGAGGGCAGCTATGTGCAATCAGGCCAGCACATGGCAGTTAGGGGGCAATCAGGCTGGTAGGCAGAGGCAGTTAGGGGCAATCAGGCTGGCAGGGGAGCAGTTAGGGGGTGATCAGGCCGGCAGGCAGAAATGGTTAGGGAGGAGCAGGCAGGCAGTCAGGTGACTGGTTAGGAGCCAGCAGTCCTGGATTACAAGAGGAATGTCCAATGGGATCAGGCCTAAACTGGCAGTTGGACATTCCACGAGGGATCCCAGATTGGAGAGGGTGCAGATCAGGCTGAGAGATCGCCCCCCCACCTCCTGTGCACAAATTTCGTGCACCGGGCCTCTAGTGTTTATTATAAAAATAGATCTCTGTAAGTGTCTTAAGGATCAAGTTCAATGCCAAGAGGTCAACATTATTAACAAGCTTTATGAGAGACATCAAATTGCAAGTTTAAGAATTTTTCAAAGAAAGATATGTAGGAAAAGAAATTATTGATGAGAACAGTGAGCTGAAGAATTAATATTCTTACCATGACCATCCCTCCTGAATTGACCACATTGCCTGCCACTGGCAGTGTCACAGTGACAGTCCCTTGTCCACTGCTGGTTGTATTGGTGTTGGCTCCTGTCTGAACAATCTGTGCGCCCGCCAAACTTGCTGCTGGGATGGTGATCATGCCTGAAACAGGGACTGTAACTTTAAGAAAATAAAACATAAAAGAAAAACAGGTACACAGAAAGAAGGGAACACAGTTAGTTCCTCTTCTATCTGGCACACACTCAATCACCTTGGAAAAACTAAACTGCATAAGAGGGGGAAAGCACTCACCCTCTCTGCCTGGTTCACTATATAAAACCCATGTAATCACAATCTTTGAAACCCAATTAATTTTCTTGGTTCTAGCTTTGAATAAATCTATCCTTGAAATGGATACTTTCCTTGGCATTACAATAATAGTTTTCAACAGGTGGCGAGACAGTTTGGAGTCTTCCACTTCTATGGATCAGTCTGACTATAGCTATCCCCAGTTTTTGTACATATGGACAATCTGCTTCATGATAGAAATTTTATAAGCATATAAACTGTTCATCCTAAATTGATAAGGAATCAACCAGTTGCAGGCCTAAAGCTTAAACCAAGCATTCCTAGTCCCCAAACTATCAACAGCAGCACCGAGGAGAATGTGTTTACCATTTTCTGAGTTCCTGCCAGTGCTCAATCCAGTTCAGGCCCTCTCCTGAGTCATAACAAAAGCACAGTTACTGCATCCACTGGATTTTACATACTGGTAAGTCTTAATCATAAGTCAAACCTTTAGTCATGGAATCAGTTAGATATCCTCTTTAGATTTATCTATCTGACAAATGTTTCCAAAAGCTTTTCAGTTCAGTTTGAGCCATCTCCTCCTCTTTGAAATACATTCTCCTCTCAAGCCATATTTCATCCTCCCTTCTGTGTGCATGATTTATTCCTAGAACATACCTCCATAAGGATTCTGCACTATATTTTTTTGTTCACATGTATGTCTCTCTTATTAGACTAGAGTTTCTTTGAGAAACTCTTCTTTCTTAGCAAAGTCCTACATACATAACAGGCACATAAGTATTTTTGGAATAAATTAACAAAAAAGTAGCCCTGATAAAAATACACCTAAGCCACCTAAGCAACAACTTCTATTTCCAATCTTCTATTTAGAAAGTGTTAAGTAGAAGATTAAAGCTTATATTATCCTTATGAGCAGTCCTTTTTTCAGGTGTACACCCAAGTAATTAGACATTACATAACTTACTAAGTGATCATCCCCATAAACCTCGATCCTATCTGACACCAAACATAGTGATTAGGATATCACTGATTATATTGCCAATGCTGCATTTTACATCCTCATTAGGCTCAATCTTTTAACCACTACTTAGGGATTCCTCCAAATGGAATGAACATTGATCATGTATTAATGACAAGAACCTAATAACAATCAATGAAGACTTAAGAGAAAATCTTTTTTGTTCAAAATATATCATGTAGAGATGACAAAATTCCTGAAAAATAATTTGCTCAAGGGATAAAGATGAATCCCCCCCAAAATAGACATGAGCATACTTACCTTGCTGGAGAATGGTACCGTCTGCATTAACTGGCTGATAAACAATGGTCTGCCCTTCAGCAGTCTGTGCCACTTGCTGCCCCTGGACAGCAATTTGCTGCTGTGTCTATTGGAAAAATTGTAACACATTTTAAGAGACTCTAAAATATCACAAAAGGCCATGTAGTCTTTTTCTTTTTAAAAATCCTCATTCCAGGATGTAACTTGATTGATTTAGAGAAAGGGAGAGAGAAACACTGATGCAAGAGAAACATCAATTGGTTGGTTACCTCCCGTATGCATTCATGCATTCTAGTTGGGGATCGAACCAGAAATGCAGGCGTGTGCTCTGATCAGAAATTAAACCTGCAACCTTTTGGTGTACAGGACAGTGCTCCAACCAATGGAGCCACCTGGCCAGGGCTCGTCCTTTTTTTTTAAACACACACACACACACACACACACACACACACACACACACACACACACTTTTCTCTGTGTAGATTTTAGAATTTTATTCCTCCCGGTCTCTATTGCCTCTGACTACAAAGAAACAGTGATTTAAACCCTTTGCGCCCTTTTATTTTTTAAAATTTTATTATTTTTAAAAAATAAATCTTTATTGTTCAGATTAGTTGTTCCTTTTTCACCCCATAGCTCCCCTCCACATGGTTCCCACCCAACCTCTTTCCGCCCCCACTGTCCTCATCCATAGGCGTACAATTTTATCCAGTCTCTTCCCACACCCCCCCACACTCTCTTCCCTCCAAGAATTGTTGGTCTACTTTCTTTGTATGCCCAATTCTATATTCACCAGTTTATTCTGTTCATCAGCTTTTTATTCACTTGGTTTTTAGATTCACTTGTTGATAGATATTTGTTGTCACTTTGTTGTTCATAATTTTTAACTTTACCTTTTTCTTCTTCTTCCTCTTTGTAAAGAATACCCTCAGCATTTCATATATATAATACTGGTTTGAAGGTAATTAACTCCTTTATCCTGAAGCTCTTTATCTGACCTTCAATTCTGAATGATAGCTTTGCTGGGTAGAGTAATCTTGGTTGTAAGTTCTTGGTATTCATCACTTTGAGTATTTCTTGCCACTCCCTTTTAACCTTTTAATAGTTTCTGTTGAGAAATTGATGACAATTGTATGGATACTCCCTGGTAGGTAACCGTTTTTCTATTGGTGCTTTTATTATTATTTTTTATTGCTTTTAATATTCTTTGTCTTTTGTCCTTGGCATTTTAATTATGTGTCTTTGTATGGTCCTCTTTGGATTTCTTTTGTTCGGGGTTCTCTGCGCTTCCTGGACTTGTAGGTCTATTTCTTTCACCGGGTAGGGGAAGTTTTCTATTATTATTTCTCAAATAGGTTTTTAATATCTTTCTCTCTTCTTCTGGCAACCCTATAATTTGGATGTTGGTACACTTGAAGTTGTCCCAGAGGCTTCTTGCACTATCTTCATATTTTTAGATTCTTTCTTCATTTTCAGTTGGGAGTTTTTTTTGCTTCTTCGTATTTCAAATCTTTGACTTGATTCTTGGGATCCTCTAGTCTGCTGCTGAATCTCTGAATATTCTTTTTTTAAAAAAAAAATATTTCTTATTGATTTTTTACAGAGAGGAAGGGAGAGGAATAGTTAGAAACATTGATGAAACATCAAGCAGCTGCCTCTTACACGCCCCCTACTAGGAATGTGCCATCAACCAAGGTACATGCTCTTGACTGGAATCGAACCTGGGACCCTTCAGTCTGCAGGCTGATGCTCTACCCACTGAGCTAAACTGGTCAGGGCTGAATATTATTCTTTATTTCACTCAGTGTTTGCTTTATTTCTAATTGGTTCTTTTTCATATCCTTGAGGGCTCACTATGTTTCTTGGAGGTTTTTAGGTGATTTTAGAGTAACCTTATAACCATGGTTTTGACCAGTAGTTTGCTTTTCTCCATTTCTTTCATTTGTAACCATTTGTCTCCACATTTTGGCTGCTTCTGTGTTGATAGAGTGGCTTTGTGTGCTAAGTGTCCTATAGAGCCCAGTGGCTCAGCCTCCTTAATTACCTGAGATGGATACTCTTGGTGTACCCCTTTGTAGGCTGTGTGCAGTCTTGTGGTAATTAAGCCTTGATTGCTGTTGGTATCACTGGAAGGAATTGACCTCCAGGCCAATTGGCTGTGAGGAGCATTTGTGTCTATAATGGGAGAACATCTGTGCTGGAGACACCTTTATGGAGCAGGAGTTGCTTCAGTGGGGCTTTGGTGCTCACTGAGTCTGCCCCCCGAGTGTGTCTATTATGAATATGAAGAGATGTAATCTGTATAGTCTCACTATGACCACTGTGTACACTGGCTCTTGGATCTCCAAAGAGTAGCAAAGTCAGCCACTGCCTGAGGCCATCCAGCAAGAGCTACAGAGAGGTCTGCAGATTCCTTCTCTTCCTTTGGGGTTTGGAGGTCCCCAGATGAGGTCCAGCTATAAAACAATGCAAGCTGTTGGGCCTTCTTTTGGAAGCTCTGGTACTCTCTGACCCAGTGGCAGTTGGTTAGATTTTAGATTGCAAATGGCCAGTTCATTCATATGCAAAAGCCTCTGAAAAACGGCTTGGATGGGGTTGTAAAATGGATGGGGCGGGGTCTCAGGGAATCACCAGGGTGGAGCAAACAGCAAATGGCTACCATGAGCTTTGCCCTGAAGTGCTACAAGCACCTCTGAGTAAGCTGCCTTCGCGTTCTGGCCCCCTATGCCAGACAGTCCAGTTAGTTTCTCCCTGAGTGAGTCTGAGCCCCCAGAGTCTCACCCAGAATTGGAGGTCAGAGCAGCCAGGAGCTTGTAACTCCCTCCTGATAGAAAAAGACACAGTGCACCCAGTTGCCAGCCCCTTTTGCATGCGTCACCGCCAGACCTCTTAATGTGCTTTTTTCTTTCCTTCTAGTTGTAGAATTTCCACTCAGCCAGCATTCCCATGGCTCTGGATGATATTTATTTTGTCTTTTAGTTGTAGTCTTGATATGATTTGTGCGCGGCAGCAAGTTCAGGTGTTTACCTATGTAGCTATCTTAGTTTTCTTTCTCTATATATTTTTTATGGTTTTCTCCCTTATTTCTACTACATGTGAAATATATGGCTCAGCTATTTGACCCTTCTCCATCAGCTGTGCTGTGTTCAGAGCTAGTGGAATTACCTGGGTCTGGCCAGCAGTAACGGCTGTCTGGGGCTGCTGGATGATGATCTGCTGGGTTTGGCCCTGCTGGCCCTGCACTTGCACAGCCTGCCCACCCTGGATCTGGATCTGTCCAGGTGGGACCAACTGGATCTGTGGAAGACAATACAAAGAAAGGTTAGTACCCTCTTGACACTGCTATCATTTGGTCTTGGAGTATTAGTTATCCACATTCCTCTACAAAGCAGAAAGTACTGTGAAGAGAAAAAAAACAAAACTTCTGTTCTCCTTTTTTTGTTTGTTTGTTAATCCTCATGCAAAGGATATTTTTCCACTGACTTTTTAGAGTGGAAGGAAGGGGGAGAAACATCGATTAGTTTCCTCCCACACACGTCCCAACCAAGGCAAGGGATCAAGCCTGCAAATTAAGTACATGCCCTTGACGAAAATCAAACCAGACCCTGTGGTCCACAGGCTGAGGCTCTGTCCACTGAGCCAAACTGGCTAGGGCAAGGTATGACATTTCTTAGCCCCTCCAGCAGCAGACCTTCATTTTCCCTTCCAGGAATGAGGTGGAAAAACCCTAGATCACCTTCTTGGATTCTTATTACCCAAGTGACCAAAAACACCATGAGTTACATATCGGAGCTTAGCCAGTGAGCAGTCAGAAAAGGTGTTTCCTCTGTAACTCACATGCAGAGGCAGGACGGCCAGCACGCCACGGCTGACAGGCCCTCTTCCCTCCGGGCCTGCACCATCTGTGGCTTGCCTCATTGTGCACGCAGTTCCTTCTCACCCACCTGTGTGTGCAGCCTCCTCCTGAGCAGTTGTGACATTATGGCATCTTGGGCATTTTTGCATATTCTCTCTCTCTCTCTCTCTCTCTCTCTCTCTATATATATATATATATATATATACACACACACACACACACACACACACACACATATATATATATACATATATATATATATATATATTCTGTCATACATTACATTCCCAAGACTTATTTTATAACTAGAAATTTGTACCTCTCAATCCCCTTCACCTTTTTCTTCCTTCTCCTGCCATGCTCACCTCTAACAATCATCTCTTATTCTCTGTATCTATGAGTCTGTTTGTTAGATTCCACATATAACTGAAATTATATATTTGTCCTTCTCTGTCCAACTTACTTCACTTAACATAATACCCTTTAGGTACTTCCCTATTATAAATCTACTAGAGGCCCAGTCCACAAATTTGTGCATGGGTGGGGTCCCTTGGCCTGGCTGGCAATCAAGGCCTATTGGGGGGCCACCCAGCTGGTTTGATGAGTTACATGTACAGTCCTGGAAGGAGGAGAATAAAATAACCCTGCTAGAGACTCTTAAGGGCCAATATATACATACATACATACCATAGAATCATAGAATTTAGAACTGGAATGAACCCTAAAAATCGCCTGATATAAACTGCATTTTCAGATGAGAAAACTGACAAATGAAAACCTGGGAATGGCAGACCTGGGAATGAAAAGTCAGATCACTGCATCCCCAGCACACTGTTCCTAACACTACATCACAGGACTGCATTCGGGAGTGGAAAAGAAGGTGTGGCAAGGGAAGAGAAGGCAATAGAAGGACAGAAATTAAATAGTGTGAAAGAGTTAAAGTACACATACTGGAAATATATTTAAAGCCCCATACATTTATTCATGGGGAAATGTGAAAACTATATTTAATTCTAACTGCAACTCTATTGAGGCAAAAATATGCCAATAGTTTTATTTTTTAAAAATATATTTCATTGATTTTTAGAGGGAAGGAAGAGGGAGAGGGAAACATCAGTGATGAGAGAGAACCATTGATTGGCTGCCTCCCGCATACCCACACTGGGCATCAAGCCCGTAACCCAGGCATGGTCCCTTGGCCAGAATCAAATCCGAAATGCCTCAGTCTGCAGGCTGACACTCAATCCGTTGAGTTAAACCAGCTAGGGTGCCAATAACTTTAAAAATGTTCCTACTCCTTAGCCAAGCAATTTCCCCACTCCAAAATAACTACCCTAAGAATTCAACTGAAAATAAAACTATCATGCTCAAATAAATTTATAGTAACCTTAGCTATAAAAGCAAAAATAAAATAAAGTAGGCAGGGCAGAGGTTGGCCGATTGATGTCTCTCTCACATCAATGTCTGTCTGTCTGTCTCTCATATTCCCTTCTACTCTCTAAAAATCAATGGAAAAAATAACCTCAGGTGAAGATTTGAAAACAAAACAAAACAGAAAACAAAACAAAACACAAAGAAATGTGGAAAAATTAGAAGTCTGAATTGTTAAGCAGTGTGATCACAGCTTTTTTCAACTTGTATTAAATTCCTCCAAAAATATTAAGACACCAATATGATCACTTTAATTATTTAAAAAAAATCTATATAGTAAAAAATTAATAGTTCTTCCTCATTCCCATTTCCATGCTAACAAACACATGTATTACATAGGGCTTTGGCTACTAATTACAAAGGTAATATCACATAGTATATGTTTCCGTGCAAATTATTTTTTGCCAAAAGTACTTTAGTATTAACCACCATTCTATGTCAACAGTTTATTCTTTTTAAAAACATACTGTTTCATATATGAATATCGTATGACATATTCTTGAATATATAGGCATTCAAGTTACAATACAGCTTTATTTGGTAGCACAATGTTGCAATAAATGTATTTGTACATTTCTCCCTATATATCGATGCTTTTCATCCTATAGGTTTCTCAGAAGTGGGATAGGTTTATGTATTTAAGAGTAAGATGCCTTCCAAATGACATCAAAATTTGAAATTACCTACTGAATGAGTGTTTCCTTTCCTTCACACCCATTGTAGAACGAGATATAATTTTTTTTTTAAATTTTGCCAAGTTGATAGAAATTACTCTACTTTTAATATTTGCAAGTAACATCTTATCTACTTCTGTTAATCTCTTCTACTTGTTGCCTTTTTTACCTTTGTTTTCTGTTTTGGAACCAGTCTTTCCATTGGATTTATCTATTTTATTGATCTTTTTAAAGAATCAGTTTTTATTTACTGTCTACATTTTTGTTGGTTTTCTTCTTTAGTAATTTTAACCTACTTTTTGCTCATTTTGTTCTTTTCCTAACTTCCTGTGATAAATATTATTAACTTATTTTCAATTTTAAAAAAGGCTATTAAGTTTTGCTCCAAATATAGTGTATGGTATGTGTGATGGGTATGGGTTGAAATATCCTTTTTTCATTAGTTGCTAGATGACTTAAAGAAATGAAAAAATAGCACTTCTGGCAAAAAAAAAGAATACCAAAAGCAGATTATAAATTTCCTCCCTTAATGACATAAAATGCCAACAATGCTCACCCAATGAATTACTTTTATAAAACTAGATTTCCATCTTTTCACATTCTTTACATTGATTAAAAAATCATGTCTAATTAGTCCTTTTACAGGGATGTACAATTTATGTCTAGTTCTGCTTTACCAATGGTACTACAAAGATGGACTACTAACTAAATGCAAAGAGAGGGTAGGAAGCAATTAAGTGCAACAATATCAATTATCAAACAGCTTATAATAACTATTCTTTTAAAAACCTCTGATATACTGCCTAAACACTTTTCTATACCACTCACCTGCTGCAAACCCTGGGACCCAGATACAGGTACTTGCATGATGGTTTGACCTTGTCCACCAGGAACAGCCTGGACCATGATGGGTTGGCCAGTTGATGTGATTAACTGGCCTCCACTGACCTGCACCATTAATGGCTGCCCCTGGACCTAAAATGAAATAAAATGAGTACAATGAAATAACATAAGACACAAAATGGTTTTTACTAAAAGACAATTACTGGAACTATTTTGCTGCCTTGCTAGAGGGGGGAAAGGCAGGAGAGCCTCCTCATACCCCACCCTCCAATAATAAGTCTAAAGTCCTATCTTCTTCAAGAATCTATGGTATTTTTAACTAGAGGCCAAGTGGAATACTTTAAAGTCAGACATAATGAAGTATATCCAGTCTTTGGGAAGTCTCAATAGATATAAGGCATTTGTCACCAAATATAGGCTTACTCCATAAGAAGCATTTAAACAAATGTCAAGACTATTTGCTTTTTTAGACTAATATCCAGGAATGATCTCTAGTGAGGGCTGAAGAGGAGGCAATGAGAAGGGTAGCTAGTGGTGGTGATGATGGTTAAATATAAATTCTAAATAATCTAAGCGAGTAAATCAAACTATACAGCAATGCAGGAGGCTGGGTAGCAAGCCACTCTGGAATCTTATGCAGAAGATTTCTCAAACATATATGAAATGTACATATTTTACTCTCTTCAGCCTTATATTCTGGTTGTTGTTGAAAAGAGCCTACTAGTAAAAACTGCCTAGAAATATTTTCTGATCAGTTTGTAGTATCTGTGATGGAATTCCTTGCTCTGGGTCCTGCAGTACCTGCAGTTATTTTAATTTTAACAGAAGCAATGACAAATATGGAAATTATACAAAGCATAATTTCAAGCATATAAAAAAATTTCCAACTTTGAAACTCCCATGAAAACTCTAAAAGCCAGGCCATTGTAAATGCTCTGTTGTAATATTTTGAGTCCCAATAAAAAATACCTAGATAATAGAATGCTTTCTAGAGCCAAAATATAAGCCATTTAAAAAGTGAAATGGAGTGAATGTTCAACAGAATAGCTAAAAGTAAAAAACTCATTTTCTGATTCTATCTTTAAGAAATTACTTATAATATTACAAAAGAATTTGCATGACTAAAACCGTCATTCTTAATGCCAGTGGGAAAAAAATGTTCCAATAAAATTATCAATCAGACCTATAGGAGTAAATTAGATATTAAGCACCCCCTCACAAGTGTTCCAGAACCTTTAGAAATATTCGAAATCCTAGCTTTTGTGAAACTGCTCATTTAGAAATTCGTTTAAAATTAAGAACTTTACAATTTGATTCCACTGCTTCTTCCTTCCCTTCCTTCCCCACCCCAAATCAAATCCCTCATTACACCAATGTCTGCGTATGTTTTAGCAGGAAAGATTTTTTTCAGAACATTAACTGCATGAATAATTAAAATAACTATTTAAAGTTTTCCAAAGTAATGAAACCTTTAAGGAATAGTTTCTATTATTTCCATAATTTGTCTCCACTTCTTTTAAATAAAATCTACACATGTAAGAATACAAGTTTTAAGGCATAACTATAATAATTTTTTAGCTCTCTGTCATCTTAACTTTTCCCCTTGTTGACATGCTGTGAGCACTCATAATAAACCATTTGAGACTCCAAGAAGCCCACTCGTATTTACAACATATGAATGATTGCAAGGATACATGCATCAGACAAAAAGCCATACAGTTAAGAGCATGTTACATTCCCATTCCAAAGTGGTTAATGACAGTATTATTTTACACATCAGTAAGATGAAGCAAGCATGAAAACATAAATTACAAGCTGCTGAACTCTGAGATTTATAGTTTGGAAGAACCTACAAGATTAGGTTCTTTCAGGCTAATTGTTGTTCAGAATTGGCATCATCAAACACTGTGAGTGGCAGGTGTGGGAGTGGGGCTGAAACGGTAAAGTAAAATGATTACAATAATGGGTAGTTAACTGCAGGATGTTTAGCGGTTCTACAATCTAGGTCCTACTTTGAACTACTTCTATTTTAGTGGATGAAAAAGACAGGGCACCGAAGTCTTATCAGTTTCTAAAAAATACAGTCATTTTAGTCAAAGTAACCTACAGACACAGAAAAGACTAATGCTCCTACTCCTGATTTTATACTGAAGCTGGCCAAAATATCATGCCAAATTTGAATACTTAACTTAGCCAACATGTTAGGGAACTGAATTGTTATAACCACTATAAGTAAGAATTCTTACAGTGGCTATACCACCTAAGACCTATAGAAAGTTTATCTATCCCACTTATATCCAATCTGAGATATGGGATAATCTTTGCAGATCTAATAAAAAAACAAAACAAAACAGATCACTATTTTCCTAGAAAATAGTAAAGAGATTAACAAGAGATTTAGTGATTAGATAAAACTTTCCAAGTACAATGATTATTTTGTACCTGATTTACCCTACCCTTTTAATAAAAACAATCTAGCCTAGCTAATGCACATGATTTTCTCCTTTACTATTATAGTAAAGTTCATGAAATTTTATCTTGCAATCCGACACAGAACTTGAACCCTAAATAGGTTTTGATGTCACTGTAAGAATTTTTTCCTATCCTTTATGACAATTCTTTCCAAGGCATTCCCCCCAAAAAGTACTAGCCAAATGCTGTTTTCAGAAAATTCACACTGGAGTCACATGACTTGGCATGAAACATTAGGGAACTGGCATGGTGTAAGTCTCAGACAAGTTAGCATCAAAAACATGCAACTGACTTTGCCATTTCTCTTTGAGATCCTACCACAAATGGCACCAGACATGAGGAAAAGAGAAGTTCATGCAGTGCTTACAGAGAATCAGAGAGGGCACCACTACCTGGAGGGTCTGGACTTGCTGGCCTGAGGCGGATGCCACCTGGGCCTCAGTCTGCAACTGGACAGCAGTGACACCACCCTGCTGCTGAGAACAGGAACAGGAAGAGCTTGAAATGTGTCAGGAAGAAAATGTATGGTTCAAGGCATGAGATCACCTTACCTCTTATAGGGGTGGGAGAGAGTCTTAATCCCACCCTACCCAGGACTTTCTAACTGTACAGACTCCCTAGTCTGAACCTGTTTGGTTGAAGGTAACAGGACTGAAGATATTAGCCCTTTGTCCCTAGAGTGAAACTCAAAACATACTTCCATGACTCAAAAATGTCAAAACAGTTATCATTCAAACAAAAATTGTTGCCAAAACCGGTTTGGCTCAGTAGATAGAGCGTCAGCCTGTGGACTGAAAGGTCCGGGGTTCGATTCCGGTCAAGGGCATGTACCTTGGTTGCGGGCACATCCCCAATGTGGGGTGTGCAAGAGGCAGCTGATCAATGATTCTCTCTCATCGATGTTTCTAAATCTCTATCCCTCTCTCTTCCTCTCTGTAAAAAATCAATTATATATATATATATATATATATATATAAAATTGTTAACGCAATCCTTCCCTCCAGAAATAGGTATTGATCCTTTTGCCTACAATGTTATTTTAATGCCTGTTTTTTTGTTGTTTGTTTGTTTTATTTCCTCAAACCAGTTCACAAGAACAAAGATGTTAATAACTTTGAAGCTACAATGAAAAATTTCTGGGGCTTAAATGCAATCATCAGAAAGGAAATCACTGTGAGCCAAAATAATTTTTATGAGGTTACTGTTCCCATGTCCCCACACTAGAATTACTTCTACTCAATTAGACTACCCTTGAAGAATTTCAACCCAATTTTTATGTTCTGTGATGACAAGTTCTGACCAAATGAAAATTCACCCATCGAGGGCCCTCCGTGGAATCCCTTTTACAAAGAAGCAGGTGAAGAAGTTGCCAGAGCCACAGCAGCTACATGGCTGGAAAGATGAGTAAAGAGGTTTAAATAACTACTCTGTTAAACAACTACTCTGGTAATGAAGAGTAGCTTTTCCCTTGGTCATTAGATAGAACTCACCATCAAACTTTCCTTTGCCCTCCCTACAAACTACTTTTCTATATTATCTAAGATGCATTTTAGAAACAAAATATTCCTAATCTTGTCCTAAAGTTAAATTGATACATGACAATTTCTCCTATGTAGAGAAACAAGAGAAGTTTCACTAAAATAAAGCCACATATAAAGCATCAGAAAATGTAAGCTGTGTGTAAATTCAAGAAAGTAACCCCTTTAAGTAGGGAATTGCTTTCTGATATGTGTTTATCCATTAGAATGGCTGTCTATTATCCTCATGGTAAACTAGAACTTTTCACAATAAGCACGGTAGTGGATTCAGTCAAACAGTAATCTTCTTAGACACTATCTTGGTTTGTGTATTGTGGCCAATACCTTAGTAGATTACACACTAGCTTAATTAAGTAGAAAAACAACAACAAATTGAATCCTGAGAAAATAAAAACTCCAAATTTCCATCTGAAAACAGATGATGTGTTTTGACTTTTAATAAGATAAAAAGTGTGACTCAGTGTTTGAGCTTCAACCCATGAACCAGGAAGTAACCAGTTTGATTCCTGGGTGGTGGGGGTCCTGTTGGAGGCAACAAATCAATGTCTCTATCTCTCTAACCCTCTCCATTCTTCACTCTAAAATCAATAAAAACATTAAACCAAGCTCCCATGAAGAGCAAATTCTCAGTAGTCAAGGGCTGAATATAGAGTTTTGAACACAGAAAACAGCAGAGAAATCACAAGTTTAATCTTCAAAAAGCACTTCATTGTTAGCACAAGTCATTACACCCATTCTTTATAAGATCTGGTATCTCTGAAATAATTCCCCAATTGAGTAGTGCTGTTATTAATCCACTGCTGTGACATTTAAAGCAGTTTTACTTCCATACCTGCTGCTGAATCGGACCAGCCTGCACAACAATCTGCTCCGTTGAACTATTGCTATTCGCTGTATACTGTTCCATGGTCCCTCCAAATTAGAATCCTGAACACAGGGAATTTCACTCCGGAGAGTATACAAGACTGTGAGATGCACTCCTATTAGAAATGTTGGGGGGAAAAACAAGAGTAGAGATTGTCAATAAGGCTATGCCAGATGATTAACTTTGAGACTTATCACTGTATTTTATTTGTAAGAAATCAGCATAAGAAAGTAGAAAATGCTTATACAGTGTCATTTTAACTAGGATTACATGGTACAATCATGACAACAATATCAACTCTATTTCATGTTTTAAAAATGCTTTTAGTCATTTCACTGGCAAGTTTACCTTTCAATTATAAAAAAGCAATACCTGTATCTTAGAAATACGCATGAATTATAATATCACTTTGTTACAGGCTTATTTAACACTGATTTTGAAGTCTGCATATGCACTTTAGAGAAGAAACAGCTTCTTTAATTTATAACAGGTGTTGCAAGCCAAACATGTAACTCTAGTTCCCTACATATTTAGAACTTCAGGGTTTATTATTTAGTAAGTAAATTATCCAGACCTGAAGTCAAACATTTATTTTGCTTATCAAAATCTCCACTAAGTGGCACCAAGTAAGAAAGCCATAGCAAAGATTTAGGAGTTTGCATTTTACTCCAGAGCAAGAAATAAAAAGTAATTATACTAATAAAAGTAATTATACTAATTCTTTACAGATTAAATATAAGGAAAAATTTTAAATGGTTATGATTTTCTCTAAAAAGACCTTAAAATTTTTCTAGTCTTGAATTTGAATGCCTAATAACATGCCATCCTTTATCGTATCATTTTAACTTATTATGGCAATTTTCAAATATACACAAAAGTAGTGAGAACATCATAATGAACCCCCATTGCCATAATCTAACTTCAACAATTCTCAACTCATAGTCAATCTTGTTTCACATATATCTCAACCACTTTGCACCGTCCCCTGGATTATTTTGAAGCAAATCCCAGACACCATATTATTCCCCAAATTCATTAATACTTTAGCATTTATCTCTAAAGAGAAGACTCTTTTCTGTTTATCAAGTTATAACAATGATATTGTCTCTACTATATTATTCAAATATTAAAAAATAAATAAGTCTGTAATATCATCAAATAGCTAGTCCATGTCCAAATTTACCATTCTCATACACTTTAACAGTTGAAATAAGGATACAATTAGGTAAATTGAAGTGATAATTGAGAACCGTGAATAAAGACTTGATTAAAAAATTTAAGGGTGCCGAAACCAGTTTGGCTCAATGGATAGAGCGTCGGCTTGGGGACTGAAGGGTCCCGGGTTCGATTCCGGTCAAGGGCATGTACCTTGATTGCGGGCATATCCCCAGTAGAGGGTGTGCAAGAGGCATCTGATTGACTCTCTCTCATCAATGTTTCTAACTATCTCTCTCCCTTCCTCTCTATACAAAATCAATAAAATATATTTTTAAAAAAATTTAAGGGTTATTCTCCTTGGAAATACGAGGGAGGCACAGGTATATAAACAAAATGCAGATAATTATTTTTCCTCAATTTTTCTCTAGGCCTTCATAAATCCTAAAAAGTGAGTAATATTATATGAGAGAACTAAACTGCACATTATAGCAGCAAAGCAAGGCACCAATCTCTATTAATCCTCACATAATGGATGAGATTAGTCACTTGCAACGTGTCTCAATATTGTGTGAAAGAAATAAAAATATACTCAAGTGCATATCTAAATATTTAGGGAAAAGTGTACCGATGGAAAAAATTTACTTTGAAATGCATTAAAAAATAAGACTGATGAATGGGTGTAAAGATATCTAATAAGACAAGTATGGTACATTGTTAATGGTAGACTCTAGGTGATGGGTACACAAGTTTTTACTGTAAAGTTCTTTTAACTTTACTGTGAGTTTGAATATTTTTATACAGAAATGTTGAAAGAAAAAAGCCTAACAAAAATTAATTAAGCTTATCACTCATAACCAAAATGGTGTGTAGTATTTAAGAGCCATAAATGACAGGATGACTGTGCCATCACAGTATCATGCACCAGGTCATACAGTTCTCCAACTCACTACCATTGCTCTAATGAAATACTCACCAAGCAAATATGCAGTTTTAATTTGGACTTAGGTATATATAGATTAGCCAATAAAGGATATATATAATTAACAACACAAACTTGATAGCTATTTTCTCAATACCCACTGACAAAATGGCACTCTGATCTTTACATCTGTCTCTTCTGAATTGACCGACTGAGTCAGGTCCAAAGGACACTGGAACAGTATAGAAAAATCAGGCTTTCAACCAGGCTAAATGGCTTTGCCAGGGAAGTTAAACAATCTCCTTAAACACTATCTTGTTTCTAACTGCAGTGCACACAATGAGACTAAAGAATTGAGTCATCATACAAAAGTGTATATGTGATTTCAGTTAAAACCGTGAAAGGACAATAGTAATCTAGAGACAGAAAGTAGATCAGTGGTTCCCTAGGACTGGAGGAGATGGGGAGAGGAAGGGGAAAGTGGGAGATTGAATGGGATAGAGCACCTGGACCTTTCTGGAGTGACAAAAATGTTTTTGGTTGTTGTCAAACCTCACTCTATATTTTTTTCCATTGATTTTTAGAGAGAACGGAAGGGAGGGAGATGTAAGAGAGACACACCAATTGGTTACCTGCTGCATGCATCATGACCAGAGGCTAGGGATCGAACCTGCAATTCAGATATGTGCCCATGATCAGGAACTGAATCCATGACCCTTTGGTCCAAGGGCTGACATTCTAACCACTGAGCTTATAATCCAGGGTATGATAAAAATGTTTTATATCCTCACTGTAGTGGTGGTTACATAGGTGTATAAATTTGTCAAAATTCATCCAAACGTAAATTTAAAATAATTACCCTTTGTATCTAAATGTTTATCTCAAACTTAATTAATAAAGTTGATTTAATGTCAGAAGCACTTAAAGCTGTGAAGATTTTTTGTGAGTTTATTTAAGCCCAAAATGTTGACAACTGCAGGGAAGCAGAATCTCAAGGGATTGAGATAATGCTCCAGAGAATGGCAGCTTTGCACCTTGTTTTATACATTACAATCAAAAAAGGAGACTTATGTGGGTTACATGAAATCCACTGGTGATACATTAGGGAGGCGGGAGAAAGCAGAGCGGGGAAACCTCTGGGGCAGGGATAGAGGAAAACGATAGACACACACTTATTTTACATCGGTGAGTGTGGGATAGTTAACAGTCAACAATTAACTGAGTGACATTGAGGGGACATGTGGTCTCTGAAGAGCGGTGCCTGTTCTAAGAGGGGTCCGGAAAAGGGAAAATTGTTTTAACATTCAAAGATATGTTATCCTAGATGCAAAAAACCAATAATATTAAAGTAAAGATTGACCTTTTTCAGGGAAGATACTGGCCTAGGACATGACTACCCACCATAAACTGCTATTAGTTAAAAAAAGTTTTAATCTCAGGCCATCCTTTGTGGTTACTTTATTTCTCTGGGTTTGCAAGGCTTTCACTGAGCTGGTCAGGTTAGCATGTGACTTCTTTTCATCCACAGTATAATGAAGAAATGTCCTCTATATTTCCACACTTCCCCTGCCCCACAATTTCCTTATTGTATGAGATTCTTTTCTTGACCACTAATTTCCAGAAATTTGCATCTTACTTAAATAGCTTATGAGTTACTAATAAATAGATCATGCAGATTTTCTTAACTAATTTATTCCATAACACAATTGGTCCAAATTAAAAACATTTAAATCCATTCTATTCTGAAGGGTAAAAAAAGAGAGCAGTTTCAAATCTAATAGCAATCCTCTCATATTAATGTGAAAGTGATTCAGTCTGGAACATGGAATTGAGATTGCTAATAGTGAATTCAATAACACAACTAGCTTCAGTGAAACCATATGGTCTACTGCTGTGAGCTTCAGTTAGCAGAATTGTTACAGGCAGTTAGACAGACATGAGAAGAGTCACCCCCAGGGTAACCTTTCCTTCCCTGACTTTTCATACTTCTAGTCATGTGGTTTAGACTCCTGGCCTTTTCCTCCCTAAAGATAGCATCTAGGCCTCTGTTGTATGTATTTCAGCTCCCGGCCAAGAAAAGCCGCAAAACCAGACAAGCATGCCATGGTAGCCTCAGGACCAGCTGCACTGACTAATGATCTCTTGCCTTGATGCTGTCAATCAGCGGATATCAGGACCATGAAAGAGCACAAGTGGAAAACAGATGAATATTCTGTTGAGACTCTCCCCTGAAATTCCCACCTGCAAGAGAGATAAATACCCTCAATGCAAGGATCCAGTGCCTGCTTGCCTTGGGGCAGCACATCCCCGCCATTGCCATTCCCTTTCCCTCTTCTTCCTTGTAAGGGACCCAGTGAGACATGCAATGAGCAGCAGCAGCTTGTCCCAGGCTAAGCCCCCAAACCTGTCTCCAAGGCCTCCTTTTCTCCGACTTCTCAGTGAGCCAAAGCAGCGCAGCCTAGACTCGTTACTTCTATGCCCTTCCTTGATTCACTGTCCTAAGTGTGTTTTTGCTTGCTTTGTTGCACTTTGTCTCTTGATGGAAATGTTTCCTTCAAGAAGACAAGAACTAAGATCTAGTCCTCTCGCCACAACAGAACTGTAATAAAACCTGACATTGTCTTTCCTCAAATGCTACTCTGCCCAAGATTCTGACAAAATCAAGTCAGCCAGATTTAGTCTAGCTCTTGTTTCTAACTCAAAGTTTCAAATGATTGTTCTATAAAATCCATTGGTGATAGATCAGGCAGGCAAGAGAAAGCAAAGGATTTCACCAATAGATTTCTTTTTTTTTTTTTTTTCTTCAAAGAGAGTATGTGTTTATTCTGGCTAGCATGAAAATTCTTCTTTCCACTTCAAGGCACAGAACCTGTAATGTTTTTAATATTTTATTGATTTTTTACAGAGAGAAAGGGAGAGAAATATTGAGTTAGAAACACTGATCAGCTGCCTCCTGCACAGCTCCTACTGGGGATGTGCCCGCAACCAAAGTGCATGCCCTTGACTAGAAATGAACCTGGGATCTTTCAGTCTGCAGGCTGATGCTCTATCCACTGAGCCAAACTGGTTAGGGGCACACATATTTTTTAAAGCTTAAACTTCCAGAGAGTCAACTGTAAGCATGTAAAAGCCCTCAAAATTACCATATTTGACAATCACTACCAGGTAAAGTCTAGAATAGAAGCTTTCAAACTTCTCTGACCACAATTCACAGTAAGACCATTTCCTATCAAACATTAAAAAAGTAACTGAAACAAAAGTTTCATGAATACTTATCATATATATGTGTGTGTGTGTGTGTGTGTGTGTGTGTATATATATATATATATATATATATATATATATATATATATATATATATATATATTGTTGAGGCCAGTTGTACAAAGGTTCATGCAATAGGATTTCCTTCCCCTGGCTGCTGGCACCGGTTTCCCTTTGGGACCCAGGCCACAGCAGAGCCAAGTCTTCAGCCTTGGCTCCATGTCTGCATATGCAAATTAACCTACCAGCTTTGTTGTATTAATCTGCATACTCACTCCTGATTGGCTGGTGGGTGTCGCGGAGGTCATATTTATCTTTTATATATACACACACACACACACACACACACACACACACACACGCACATATATCTCCCCCTTCCCAGAGAGGAAGTGAGAGGGAGATACAGAAACATCAATGATGAGAAAGAATCAATGATTGGCTGTCTCCTGCATGCCCACTGGGAACCTGAGCAATCCAGGCATGTGCCCTGACCAGGAATTGAATCGTGACCTCCTGATTCATAGGTCAAAGATGCTCAATCACTAAGCCATGCTGGTCAGGCGATGAATACTTACCTTTTATCACAAAAGATATACACTTTATTTTTTTTCTATTTTATTATAAAAATCACTAGCATTAGCCCACTAAATTGATTTTACAACTCAACAAATGGGCCCTAGTTCTTTGATAAAAGACTAGAACTAAGAGCTGTCCAGCTTCCTTACTGTTCATGGTTTCTGGATTAGAATTTCCAATTGTTCCTTTTCTCCACTAATGATGTATCATGTCCCAGACACTGTCCTATAGGTTTTTGAAAAAAGAAACTCTGACAAAGATTCTAACTTCAAAGATTCTTTAAATTTAGTAAAGGAGTAAAAATCTGTACTAGAATAAGAGACACAAAGTAATAAGGCAATCTGGAGGAGATTTCTTCTACTGGGGATAGACAAATCAAGGAAGACTAAGAAAATGTGGCATATGACCTGGTGTTAAATTCAAGAAAGACTTATTTATATGTGATGATGTGGGAAGGGGTGGAGTACTCCAAAGAACCAACACAGTAACAAGGACACAGAAATTTCCGCATACGAACAGCAGACTAAAAGGCCCCATACCTCACGTGAAAGATAGAGGCCAGACGACTGTCCCTCAAAATTCCAAGTTCTTATGTAGACAGGTGGGAGTTCCAAGTGTCTAGCAAAAGAGTAACTTGACAATAACTGTCCTTTAGAACAGCGGGTGGTCCACGAGGTCCGAAAGGTTGACAACCGCTGTTTTAGAAAGTCTAGCAAGTGTTTGGTGGTTTTAAAGTGACCAGATAAGCCAGCTGGTGAGGGCATAAGCCTGGGTTTTGGGCTCCATCCCCAGTAGGGGGTGTGCAGGAGGCAGCCAATGGATGATTCTCATCACTGATGTTTCTCTCTCTCTCCTCCTTCCTCTTTCTGAAGTCAATAAAAACATTTTTAAAAAGCGATGTTTTAAAAAAACATCTAAGATACACTGCACATCCATTAATGTGGATAAGAATTAAAAAACAGTGGATTAGTTGTTTTCTGAAACCTACCTGTTGTATGACTTTAGTAAACGTGATTAGAAAAACAGGCATCATATGAAGGCCTACTCTGCGTGATAAGGACTGCACTAGGTGCTTCACATAAGTCAAAATCTCCCTTTCTTCCCCCATAAGCCACTGTTATGGGACAGAACCCTACAAGTCAGAAACTTGTTTTCCCAATCTTAAACTCTCACCACTACTGCCTACTGTCCTATTCTGTCTCCTCACCCCTTTCAGACAGCACAATTTGGTTTCTCTGCCCATGCTCTTCTATCTTGTCAGAAGAAATCCGATCATCCTCCAGGCCAATCAAAAGGGTGGCTATATTAAGCTTTCCAGAAGGCTGTTGGTAGCTCACACATTAGTACCGTACTTCACAAAAAGAAACTTGGCCCCGGTACATCACTAACCGTTATGTATTAATTAGTTGTTCACCTGTCAATCTCCACTAGGCAGGGAAGATTCTTATTTACATCTACCCTCTCCTTCCCCATCAAATATACTGATGCCTGGCACATACTATTGTTTCACACTTGGTTAGTGAACAGAGATTTTTTTCTTACCCTAAAACCCAACAATATCTGTTGGGAAAAAAACACATGGAATTGGAAAGCATATTAGAAAAAATAAACCATGAGTAGCTGTGGGTTGGAGCTAAGAAGTCAAGCCTGACAAGTTCAAAGTGACACAGAAAGCTGAAAGAAAAAGCGAATGTAACATTGTCAAACGAGGAAGAGTTCTCCAAGTAGGACTAACAGTAGGAAAAGCAAGTTGTGCAGCTTCCGGAGGGGGGAAAAAAAATACGAAGGGCTAGCAATCTTCGTAGAGTGGGATTCCAGGCACCGAGTGGGCTGGCCTTAGAGCCCGGGCAAGAAAGGGGAGCCCGCTTGGTCGGGCTCCAAGACTGAGAGGTGTGCGGTGCTGCCCCGGCGAGCGCGGCGGGGAGAGGAAATGACGAGCCAAAAGGGGGTGGTAACGGCGCCAGCCCGGGTCCCCGGCCGGCCCGTGAAAGGAGGGGCCCGGCAGAGCTGGCTGAGTGGGCGCACTCACCGTCTCCCCAGCCCCGGGAAACGGCGGGGGCGGCCCCCCTCTTCCCGCCACACGTCGGGGCCCCGTGGCGGCGACGCGAGTCTCCCCCAGACCCCCCTGCCGACCCCGGAGGGCGGCGGATTACGAGTCCCGAGGGGGCAGGTTCCCGTCCCGAGGGCCGGAGCGAGCAGAGTGCAAGGACGGGCTTCAGGGTGAGGCCAGGACGACCCGGAGGAAACCACCGAGGCGTGCGCACCTGAGTGTAGAAACATTCACGACAGGCAAGCCCGTCCCTCCCGAGCCTGAGCGCCGAGAACCCCGGCCTAAGGGTCGGGGGATCCCGGACGCACCCCCAGCTGGCACGGGCACCCTGCGAGGGACAGGACCCCGAGGTGCCTGCCCCCGGGGGCCCCATCCCGGCGCGGGCCAGCCCTCTGAAGGCCTCGGCCGGGAGGGCCCCGCGGCGCACGCAGGGTCTAGGCCGGGGCCGCCAGCTGGGGCCCCCGCTCGGCTAGGCTCAGCTCGACTCCCCGGGCTCGACGGGAGCCTGGGCCATTCCTGAGTGGTCAGCGAGACCCGCCAATCCGGGCGCTGGGGCCGGCTCTGGGCCGCTGGATATTGGCTCCTTGTACTAACCGTGCCTCGCTCCCCCGGTTCGCTGCCCGCGCTGATTGGCTCCACTACCGGACTCCGAAACCCAATCAGAGGCTCCAGCCACCGCTGCCGCCGCCACTGCCGCTGCCTCGCAAAATGGCGAATCTGAACAAAGGGGAATCGGGCCTCCCTCCAACCGCCTCCGCGCAGGCGCTCCTGAAGCCACGCCCCCTAACACCTGGCTCCGGGCACGCCCCACCCCTGGCTGGAGGAGCACTGCGCAGGCGTCCCTGAAGCCACGCCCATTTTCCGGAACCGCTCCCCCTCCCTACGGGAAAAATACGCCGGCGTCTTTTAGACGCGCCAGTACACTGCCCTGGACGTATTACTGCGCAGGCGCTAACTAGCTCGTTTGCCAACTTCCCACCCCTTTCTCTGCGGCCGCGAGAGGCAAGTCCCTGGGCTAATGCGCAGGCGCCGTCCCTTCCCGCTCTTGCCGGCGGCCTCGTTACGCATGCTCGGGTGGCGGCGGGAGACCGCACGGTATTTGCCGCCGGAAGTTGGGCGGCCATCACCAAAGAGTGCTGGTAGGGCTAGCTAGCTAGAGGGGCTCGTTTCCCCGTCGCTCCCAGGTTGGGGGCGGGGGTGGGCGGCCATCTTAGGTGCGTACTCTCAAGGGCTGTGGCGGGATTGGTTCCGCATGTGGTTTCGTCGGCTGTTCCCAACCTACCGGGGCCGGGTCTGGAGCCCTTCCCCTCGGGGCGGGACCTCCTAGCGGCCGGCTTCAGGTGAAGGGTACCCCCGGTACGTGGAGGCTCAGAGCAGAGCCTCCTCGCCCTTTCCCCAGGGACCCAAGGACAGACTATGCTCCCCCGTTGACCCGCTGCAGGGTAGGAGACAGAGGGAGGGAGGCTTCTTCCTGCTCCTGCCTGTTCCCCCAGAAGCGGGGAGTGAGCCCGGAGAGGACGCCTCCCCTCCTTCCTGAGCGGGGCAGTCCACTCCCCCTGCGCGGACACTCCCTCCTTTTTCCTTAGGCCAAACCCACCGAGTTTTGGGGCCGTCCTAGGGCCGCCGGGCGCCGGGGAAGGCGGAGGCGTGGCTTAGGGCCGCCTTTTCTTGGGGGGCGGGGCGGGCGCCCCAGGAAAGCGCGAAATGCGAGCCGGGCACAGCTGCGGGTAGCCTAAGGGGTTTCCCTCTCCCCGGCCCCTGGAGTCTTGTATTTATTTCCTACGGGCTGAACGTGGGCAACATTCAATGATATAAGTTGGGGGGGGTGGAGGGGTGGAGAAGGGGAGAGGAAAGAATAATGGGTGGTCAGGGCGATCTGAATGTAATATAGTCAGGCTGCCTAAGCATTTTCCTTTACTTTCCCCTCCTCATAGCTGAAGGAATATTTAAATTCTGGAGATAGCACCTCGGTATCATGGCCGGCAGCCCTAATGAAGATGCAGAAGGAAGCAGAGTGCGTAATAACCATTAACTTACGGTGAACTGAAATTCAGAATAATTGAGGTCAAAAACATAAACACTTTTTAATGAAACCAGTAATGGAGTTGTCTTTCCTTTTTCGCTAGCTGATTTATTTTAGAAAGGCTAATAGAAGAACCTAGACAGAGACCAGCCATCACTTTCCTTTGAAATAATGCTTTAATTCGAGTGGTTAACTGCTTACATTCTAAGGATTTGGCTTTTAATCAAGAAGGTGGGTAGGGGTGGTGGATACTGTAAAGGAAAACAAGTGTTTTTCTGCATCTAACAAAACATTTTCCCCATTTGCATGTTTTTAGATCACCTATGTGAAAGGAGACCTTTTTGCATGCCCCAAAACAGACTCTCTAGCCCACTGTATCAGTGAGGATTGTCGAATGGGTGCTGGGATAGCTGTCCTCTTCAAGAAGAAATTTGGAGGGGTGCAGGAACTGTTAAATCAACGTGAGTTGTTTTTTTTAATTTTATATTTTTATTGATTTCAGAGAGGAAGGAAGAGGGAGAGACAAAAACATCAATGATGAGAGAGAGTCATTGATTGGCTGTCTCCTGCACAACCCCTTTGGGGATCCAGCCTGCAACCCGGGCATGTGCCATTGACAGGAATCGAACCTGGGACCCTTTAGTCCACAGACTGATGCTCTATCCACTGAGCCAAACCGGGTAGGGCTCAACGTGAGTTTTGAAAAACAGTTTAACCCTTATACCCTGGCTGGAACGTCTTTTGACCTGTTACACTCATTAAACAAGATACACAAGTAAAGAGGAGGTTCCTAACCACTGAGTACTTTTATTGTACTCATCAGATTAAGTTTTTCCTCCACAAAAATAGTCTCTAGTTTGGGTCCTTATTATGCCAAGCTTGAATTCTTTTTTTTTTTTTTTTTTTTTTTAAATATATTTTATTGATTTTGTACAGAGAGGAAGGGAGAGAGATAGAGAGTTAGAAACATCGATGGGAGAGAGTCATCGATCAGCTGCCTCTTGCACACCCCCTACTGGGGATATGCCCGCAACCAAGGTACATGCCCTTGACCGGAATCGAACCCAGGACTCTTCAGTCCCCAAGCCGACGCTCTATCCATTGAGCCAAACCGGTTTCGGCCCAAGCTTGAATTCTTATAAAAGTTTTTATTTATTTATTTTTTCATCTACCATAAAACTCTATTGATAATGCTCTACTTCTCTGGAAACCTTAATTATTTTGAAGTGCTTAGCAAAACCCAGTTATTATTTTGGCATTCAAGAGCCTCTGTTTACACGTACTGTATTTAGGAGTTTAGAATCCTCCTTCCATACCCCTCCTTTCATTTCCTGCCAGAGATTTAAAACCAGAAGTGTGTATTAGAGTCATGTGGAGCTTCTGAAGCAGTTGCTCAGATCACAGTCTAGGCTTATTCAATCACCTTCTCCACCAGTGATTCTGATCCCAGCCTTCAAAAAAACAATTTCTTGCTGTTTTGTATTGTAGTTCTATATGAACATGACACTTTTTCTAGATGGAAAGCTTATAATTAGAAACTTTTTTATACACTTACATCTTCCCCATAATGCTTAAACATTAGCTCTTTTATGTAAAAATGAACACATTTGGCAAAGGAAGAATGCTGTATATTCTAAAACATTTCTAGGCAGACAAAGTTTTTAAGTGAACAGTAAGGGTGTACTTGAAAATAGAGCAGGACAGGAGATGAGTGTGAGGAAAATGGTTGAGAAAACATGATTAAGAAAGTTGGATGCTCAGGAATACAGTATTTAGGAAGGCTGATAAGAAGCAAAGTTCATAGGAGACAATAGGTTTAGGTAAACCAATCTTAAGGTTTTTTTTAAAATCTAAGAATGGGGATCAGTGTTGATTTTCATTTTTCTTTCTATTAAATAACTTTTTCTTAGAAAAGAAATCTGGAGAAGTGGCTGTTCTGAAGAGAGATGGGCGATACATATATTACTTGGTAAGATGGGGCCTATTCTCAATATGTTCTAAGGACTGGTGATCAGATAAGCTGCACTGAATTTGTGTTGATCATGATAGTCCATTCTAGACAACTAAACATGTCAAAAAGCTTCTGATCTCATGCCAACTCAGCTCCAGAGGTGAGGCTGTGTGGAGCTTCGGGTTAGAAAAGAAGCATCTTAGCTCCATGGGAAGGAATACTGTGACACCTTCCAAAGGCCTGTGTTTAAGACTTGGAAAAGTTAGGGATGCCTCTCATACTTGAATTCCTTCCTCCTCATAGTGAGATATAAAAACGACAATGTCTTGAGACAGATTGCCCAAAGCAGTTTTCATTCTTCCCTATCAAATGCACTCAGCTGCTTTCCTGCCTGCTGCCTCTGTGGGGGTCTTCCCTATCCTCATGGTCTTCAGCCCCGGGAGAGTGGGTTCTTGGTGATGGTCCTGGGTGACTTAGAGCCAGCCCACTGAGAGCTTGGTTTGGACAGCACACTTAAGTGGTGTTACGTCTTTGAATGCTGTCTTTAAGACTGTGTTATTTGGAGTACTACCTGTTTGTCTCTGTTCTTTTATAGAGAGACAAAAAGCAAGCAAACATAGTTTCTAAGTAAATAGACAGGACATTTTTGGGTGGTATGGGTTCTTGTTACAGATATGCAGCTTATCTCTTGGAAGTGGCACAAAGACTTTTCACCTACTTTGCTTAAAATCAATGTAGGCACAGCCTGTTAACCTCCTGGGCTTGAGAGAAGGAAAGATTATTACCTGGCAGTGTCTGAATTTCTCAGGCCCTATTTAGTTGCTTTTCCTGAAGGCCTCCCATAACTGCAAGGGACAGTATGACCTTTGCCATCCCTGCTTTAGACTGTTCTATAAAAATATACTTTTTGTTTTAATTACCAGGATGTTGGGAGATGTGATGGCTTCTCTTTGGCTATCATTTTGGACTAATAGAAGTTTGAATTCTGTCTTTGTACTCAGATTACAAAGAAAAGGGCTTCACACAAGCCAACTTACGAAAACTTACAGAAGAGTTTAGAGGCCATGAAGTCCCATTGTCTGAAGAATGGAGTGACAGACCTCTCCATGCCCAGGCAAGGAAATCCAGGGCCCTAGGTGAAGACTTGATTGGGGGGGGGAGGGGAGGGCCACGCAGGGGAAGGAGAAGATAGACAAACAACTTAAAAGCTTAATCCCAAATGCTAACTTAATTTAAAGGTGGACATAGGTCAGAACTTTGAAAATATCACCTTTGAACCAGTTGTCAGACCTTAGGCCAAAGCACACCCATTTCTTAGCTTGGGTTGAATGACTTGGAGCTGGTCATTAAAACCCACACCTGCCTCAACCTCTGTAGTAGGGAGGAACCATTGCTTAGTCACATTTGTTAAATTTCTAGAATCCTCTGCCTGAATCTTGGCTTCTATTCCTGAAGCAGTATAAGAACCAAGACAGAACAATTGTGATTTTCCTCTGGGCCACTTCAGGTGTCCCAGACCTGTTAATCCTGTGCAAAAAAAGCTGTAAAGGGTCTCTACCTTTTAAACTGCCTGCTTGTTGCTGGTCACCTTGGGCAGTAGCCAGAGGACATAACCCTGATGTAATATTTTAGACACTACCTATTGGGAACTTAAGGAATGACATCGTTTTTTTATTTTACTTTCAGTAGGCCCTTTGTGTCCTTTTCAGGAAATAAGCTTGGGTTCACCTCTCTTTCTGTCAGTCTAGTTTTGAGTCAGTGCTGACCATACATGCAGATTTATTTCAAGCTCTAAGTCACTTAAGTGACTATTGGGTCCCTCGTCTTACTGTGGTCTTAAATAAACTTAAGGATTATGTATCATAAACTTTTTAAAATCACAGTATTTTTCAGGGATGTAATCATCACATTACATGAGATTAGCATTTTAAAGCCTTTCTTTCCCCCCCAGAGATGTGGAGGATCAATAAAGTAACATCTTAGAAGAAAGGTGCTAGGTAATAGAGTTTTGTGGGACAGTAAAGATTTTTCACCAGGTTGTTACAAAGAACTGAACTGTAGTCAGCTTGACATTTCTCAGCATTCCATCTTAATTTCTTTTTTTGGCAGAGATCCTATCCTTTGTCTTCTTTTTATTTTATCTTGCTTAACTTTCCATGATCCCAAGTGTATTTTCAAAATGCCAGTCTTTCTCCATCCTCCCACAGATAGTTTTCATCAGTAGACATAGATGGATAGTGTTTGTCCCATGTCACAGCAGTTATACATTGCTAAATGTTTCTTGAAACAATGGGGAAGTGGTAACATGTAGGTAAAAGAGAGTGACAGCTGTGGGATGTTGGTGCTGTCAGGAACAGCCTTGGGGGATTCTCAACAGGAATTCCAAGCTTCCACCATGGATGCCTATAGTGTGAGGTCAGGTAATTTGTTCTTATGCTCTGGGTGAATGCAGCCTAAAGGAAGAGAGAAGGATTGATTTCCTCGATACCTTCATCAAACCAATGGAGATGTTTTATCTTTTACAGGATTGGGTGTGGTCTTGATCGTCTGCAATGGGAAAACGTATCCACAATAATTGAGGAGGTGTTTGAGGGAACAGACATCAGAATTACTGTGTACACACTCTGAACAGATGAGCATTTTGGATGTGTCCATGTTTTCCGGTGTCATTCCTACTGGGCCATAGGACTGGGCAAACTGACTTTAAAAATGATCAGAGGGAAGTTTCATGTGAAATTTTCTGTGTCAACAGGCCATGCTTGGGTTTCTGTATTCCCATGATTGGGCTGGGACTCTGAAGGAGAGATTGCTTGGGAAATGTTTCTGTGATTTTTTTATTTTTCTTTTCAGGAAGGTAGGTAATAGCCTGATAATATTAGGCAGGGAACCAGGTGATGGGCCCTATGATCTTTTTTTGCCCCAGGATGCTACCAAATTTGTTTGGCTTGCCACTAGGTGGCAGCATTGATTCTACTTCTCTGATGTTTAAGAGAAATTTTAGGAAGAATGAACAATTCAGTTAATTTTGCATCTTTTGTCATTTGTGCATTTACTTTGTATTATCCTTATATCCTCAAATTCATCCTAGGAAATAATTTTGAGGTGTGTTTCTTTTGTTATTTAAATTACAAAAATGGGTTTTTACATTGTTAACAAAGAATTTATGGGGGAAAGTGGGAAAATAAATATCTTAGGCTACAGTGAGGTTCTGTACACATGTTTGTGTTATTTTGAACTTGGATAATGGAGGATTCACCTACAACTTAATTTGGAAAAATCAGAGGGGTCCAGTGGGAAGGCAGCAAGGTGAAACAGAATGGACACCATCTAAGGGTCAGCTTACTGGAAAGGCAGGATTTTAGAATCCACTCATGGTGAACTCTTCTGTTCACTATATAGTTTGTGATTGAACCTTTCTGAATTCAGTTATGAAAATATATGTAAACGCTTGGCAAAGTGCTTATTGAGGAGATGACTCATTGTTCTCAACAAAATATGAATCTTCTTCAAAAATAGACTCACTTCCAAAAAAACTTCTGTTTTGGTAGTAGGGGGGCTAGGGAAGATGGCCAGGTTTCTTTGTTTTTAAGCTCCAGAGGACAGTAAGGTATATCCAGCTGGGAAGGAGAGCAGTAAATATTAATCCTCTTAAGCTAAGAAAGCAGCACTTTGTCTACTCCTGTTTTTGTGTGGGAGAAGAAAGTTCATGAGTATAGCCAGTAGTTCACTCTCAGAGGTATTGGGAAAACTAGTGGAGTTTTCAACTCTTGTTCTTCACCCCTTCCCGTCCCCCCCCCGTATGGTGTTATGAGTTAAAACAGCCAGACCTAATATTGATTTTTCTCCCTTGAGTAAATTCTGGGCCTTCATAGGACTTGCTTTCTCAAGTGTACAAGAAGTGGATTTTAAAATGTGCTTGTTGAAACAGCAGGAGAGCACTGGTTAAATATAACCTTTGTACTTTAGACTTGTGTTCTTATCACATTGCAGCCTGATATGAAACAGCAGTTTAAAAAAGTATTTCACATCTTTTGTACCTCTGTGGAACAGACAAGTTCTTCATGTAGTTGGGGTGGGGTAATGCAGGAGCAAGTTCATGATCAAACTTTTAGACTAAGGCTTTTCTTAAGCTTTGCTTCTGTTCATCATTAGTATTAAAATTGAGGGGAAAAGAAGGGAAGGAATGTCTCAATACACAAAACTGAAAATGAGAATGGGTGATAAGAGGAAACTTAGAATTAAAATATTTTGCTAACTATACACATAAATCTTAACACTTGGGTCAAAACATTGCTGCTTCTACATAGGGCAATTTTTTCTCATGGATTAAGAACCTTCATGATTCTTTTAACAAAGCTTAGTTTTGTGGAGAACTGGCAGTAAGTGGAATTCCTGGACTCAGCAGGGATGTGATAAAACATTTTGTTATTTGTAGATAGTCTTGGGGTCAAATTCCAATGACTTATCACCACACTCAAAGCCTGGAGAAAGGCATTGCCTGATAATTAGAATGAGCACATTATTTCTGGAATACTAGTTAGAGTTTGGCAATTACCCAGCAATTCACATGTCAAATTTTACTTCTACATAGGACTCAACTCTTTTAAGAAATGAGACTTTGACATCATCCTGCCATCACCATCAAGTACCACATGTTGACTCCTCACATTGTGTATCTGAACATTAAAATCCTACTCTCCTCTAGTTAAGAGGCTAGTTACTTATTGGCTATTGCAAAAATATAGATATTTTGTAAGTATTTCCCATGCCTTTTGTTTCACTCTCTACTAAGGGATCTTAGAAAGGAATATTTTATGAAGGTCAAGACCAGAATGAGAAGTCTACATGGGAGAGTTAGTATCCTGTGTTGCCTAGACAAGTCCTGGTTTAACCTTCCCTCCCACTGAAAATGTAGCTTGGGAAATCCCTATTCCTGGGACTTCATCACTGTCCATAGTTAACTACTAAATGTCCAAATTTATTTAAAAACCTGGTCACAGAAAAACCACACCACTTTTATTAATGCTGCTTTTTTTTTTTTCCTTTTTTAAAAAAGAACAACTTAACATGAATGCATTTCTGGACATATTTAAGAAATCTGCACAGATCTTGGGTCTGAGGCTCTTTGCCTTAAGCAGCCCATTTGGGGGAATTAATAGGACCCTCAGACCCATGATGCCTGGTGCCCATATATGCTTGCTATTTCTCCTTGCAACTCTCTTCTTTCCCAAGAGCAGCCTTAGAGAGAGAGGCACAGCTAAAATGATTGATAGCATGAGAAGTATATTTTGAGTTCTTAGAGGGCCTTGTGCAGTGGGATTGGTTGGTATTAAATGTTGTCCAGGTCCAAGTGGTATTAGGAAGTCGGGCATGTCCTGGATGGCCATACATGTCACCGCAGTCAGACCTTGAGAAAACAGAAAACATGTTACTGAGAGCCTTGCTGGCCCCAAGCAATGAATTTTCTTTTTTAATTACGTTTTCTGTGTGCCTTCCCCAAGTCCCGGAATTTCTCCATTGTCCTGTGACTTCTGGTTTACCCGGGGTTGGATTTGTTTCATTCACGTTTGGTATGGTTCACACAGAAAAACCCCAGAAAAGATCTGCTCTAACGCTGTTTTGAGTTGAATACATGGCTAAATCCTACTCAGCCATTTTTTAAAAAGATGGGATAAGAAATATGAGAAAAATTTTCTTTAGCAAATGCCTATTTCTTGGGAGTATTTTAGTTAAGCAGCGTTGTTATTTTGGTCTTTTAGATAACTATTTCATGCCATTAAAAAAACAAACACTTAGTACATTTTAACCCTTTCATTCAGGAACATGAGCAACTCAAGTAGAGTATAGCATGTTAATAATGGGTCCAGATAATATAGGTATGTCAACTAATGGAAAGAGGCTTATAATGTGAAAAATGTCTAATATTTTATTAAGAAGAATTTGACTTAGGAATGAACTTTTTCCATCAAACTGATTTATCTACTTTCTGTTTAGATTAGCATAAGGTACAACCCTCAATTATCTAAAATTAATAGTTCTCTTTAATCCTCCCTGAAATGCTTAAATTTTATAGCAGACTTAGCTATCTCATTTGACTTAATGGGGGAAACACACCGACAACATACACAAATCCCTGAGGACTTGATAGATAGGCAGCTGGAAGAAGTGGCCCATGACTCTGAAAGATGTTTAAGAAGTATTCTAGGGTTAAAAGTTAAGCTACTAGTCTTTCTGTAGAATCTGTGTAGGGTTTATAATTACCCTAATAAAATCTTCAAAGAATTTAAAAGCTAATTTTGTATCTTCAGAGGTCACCCTTATAAATCTAATTGTATTACTACTGAAAGTGGTGTCTTATATGGGACGAGTACCCATGTGACATTACCTGACCATAATCGCACTGAATTCAATTCATTTTGTAAGAAATGGCTGAAAATTGTCTTTATGGGTTGGCGAATGCCCATCTGGAGCAGCGGTCACCAACCTTTTGGACCTCACGGACTGTGGGATGGTGACCGCTGGTCTGGAGGATGACCAGGCACCCTGAGTGCATGTCTGATAGCAAACACCTGCCAACATCAACCTCCAGAAATTGATATTTTCAAAGCATGTTTATGTGGTACATCTTAAGTATATGAACAGTGACACCAAAAATGAATAACTTCATGGAAGCATGCTTCTTTTGTGTTTTAGTAATATTAAGGTTGCTTAAAGAGGGTGGTTGAAAATCTATGTTCAAATAGTACTTTTACCAAGTAGCATGCATATACTAGGCTTCAATATTTAACATTCCCTGTTACTGGAGGACTTTGATCAGTAAGTCAGGCCTAGGATTTAGTCATACATAGCTTTGCTGTAGGAGCAATGTAGAATAGACCAAATTAAAAAAAAAAGGTAGTAAAGAATTATTTACCCTCTTTGCTGAGGGTAATTGTCCTGTTTCTGTAAGAGTCTAATTTACCCTCAGCAAGAAGCCAAATCGGCCTTAATTGTGTCCTAATTATTTGCTTAAATGGCTAATTTTTACCTTCAGTTCTCCTATCACATCTTGATATCTGTAGGAAGCTATTTCTGAGCGACTGCCTAATTTACAAACATCTTTTTAACCCTTTAAACATTCCTGCACGGAAGAACATATTGCTATATTATCCCCATCCTTGCATTCAGCATTTTTTCTGAGTTCTGCTGAGGGCTTTTCAACATTGGAAAAATGTTCTTGCATTATACTTTCACACAGCAAGTAATGGTCTCCCTCAAAGCAGAGTCATTTGTTTGAAAACATGAAAGCTGCTCTGGCCCAAAATTTCAAAGGTATAAAAAATGAAAAAAAAATTATTCCCAATAGAATAAAACACGTGCTTTAGAGGAAAAAATGGAATGGTAGGATTGCAAATGGAGGTAGGAGCAAAGCATCTACATGACTAATTCTGGATATACTTCGATGGGGGCAATGTAGGGGGCTGAAAGATATTCTAGGCTGTTTTCCAGTAGTGGGCTCTCACACCATCTAACCCTTGCTACAGAAAGCCATGTCTCAGGAACCCTTTCAGATCCTGTCACCCCTATGATTCCCTGTTATAAGGGAACGTCAGTCTGATATAATAGAGTAGGAGGGAAAAGGATTTAGGGAGAGGAATTTAGAGGAAATAAAAGGAGGTAGGATCTTCTAAAATGTTTTTACAGTCAACCCAAAACAGAAAACTCTTTCCCAAGGAAAATCTAACGCCACTGGTTCCACCTGCCCTCCAGCCTCCTGCCCAGTTAATGGGGTAATGGTGCCATGACTCACGTGAGGCTGAGCGCAGCGCCTACTTCAGGATGTCGGCCAACTTTTCCTCGTAGTATAGGAAGTTCTCCTGAATGTCCTCCCAGGGCTCAAAGGTCTTGGATTCGCCCTCTTCCTGCTCCACGAAATTCTGCCAGATGTACTCGAAGTCCTGCGGCTTCATGATGCGCAGCCTGCAGCCAGCCTCCTTCAGCTTCTTCAGAGCAGCCTGGATCTCGGGCTCCTCCCACATGAAGAGGCGCCCCACCAGGATGAGCAGGCGCAGGTTCTTGGTCTTGCTAAGGGTTTTGACGATGCGGTCAGCGCAAGCCACGCAGGGGCTGGAGGACACGTACCAGGTGACGTTGTAGCGCAGGGCCGCGTCGAAGGTCGGCACGATCTTGTTGAAGAAGGCTTCCTCCGCGTGGGCAGTGGCATGCTCATCCTCTAGGTACCCCCGGGATGCCTGCACTTGGCCTCCCTTGTCCTGCACCTCAATCACATAGCACAGGAAGGTCTTGTTCCGCCCGGAACTGTACTCCACATTCCGGAACTGGAACTTGAAGTAGTTAACGGGCAGCCGCTCCCTGTGGGGTCGAGAAGACAAAGGGACAGGGAAGAAGAGAGAATGATGGGTTCAGCATGAGGGACAAAACAGCATGAAAGCATCCCAGGAGGTTTCTCTGGAGAGGAAGGAGAATTTGGAGTGAGGTGTGCATCGGAGTTGAAGTTGTTTCTATGTGTATGTGTGGGGGGTGTTTTTCTAAGAGAGGAAGATCTGTGCAGATTTGAAGGCCAAGGAGGCTGTAACAGGGGAGCGTGAAAATGCATGAGGGAGAGCAGGGGGATGAGCGGCACCAGCTGGTCAGGTTGAATGTTTTCTTTTTTTAAAAATGTCATCTCTGGGGAGCATTGGAGATCTTGCTCCCCAGCAGATGTCAGTTTGGCTCAAATAAACTCATAACAATTCTCAAAATAAAAACAAAAACAAAAATGCAATGTCTCTGGCTGCCCCAGAAGATATCCTAAGGCAACTGTTACCTTCACCGTTGCCTCTCTCCCTGCCTTCTGATTCCCCAGAGAGGCTGCCGGGGAATCCCTGGCATCCCAGGGCCCTGGCTTGTTAGGGGTAAGCAGCAGGTGCCAAAGAGCTGAGCGAACTTGAGCTGTTGCCCTGCAGTGTTCCCTTCCTCCCATCACCAACTTGATTCTCCCCAAGTTTCCATGTCCCTTGCTGGCAAGTTAAGTTTCCACTTCGGAGATGGATGTGTTTGAGGACCCAGCCCAGGATTCCTTTGGGAGCTATACTTAGCTCTCTAAGCCCCCTCGGCCCCTTGTTGAATGTGTTTATTATTTACTTAATATTCTGGGAGAACAGGTGACCTGATGCTGCCCCTCTCCTCTTTCAGCCCCTGCTGGGATTAGCTCTCTCTAATAAACTCACCCCACCAGATCACTCCTGAACTTTGCGGTTGCTAAATGACCCCTGCTCTTCTGGAGTGGCCTTTCCCTTCCAAGAAGCTCAGAGCTTACCTTCCCTGCCCAAATCCTTTTTGCTCTTCAAAACCTTTTGCCAGATCACCCCACCCCAAGTCTAATCCAGAGCCATCTGATAGATTCTCAGAAGTCCTCACTTCATGTTGTCAATAAATTCTGCGACTTTAAGCAGAACAACATATAAGAAACCCATGTTACCATAGGCTAAGTGACATAAACAAGATTTAAGTTCTGATGGCATCAATGTTACAATGAAACATTGCTGAAGAAGACGTGGTTATTGGAGGACCTGCTGTATTCATGACTTTGTGATTGGCTTGGGGGCTTCAGCAATGGCTGTCATGGTACCTCTGGTTTCCTTCCGGAACCCCCAGAAATATTGCATCAACTTGGCCCAATACAGCCCAGCCGAGAGTATGAATGTGCAATTGCCAGTTGGCCCAATGGTCTGAGACTGCTGCTTTCTCAGCCTCTCTTAAGCTCTGGTGTTTTTCCCTCTTCCTTCCCTGGGCAAGGAGAGAGGATGGAGAGAAATGCGAAACCCAGGGGAGAGGAGGAAAGTTCACTTCTATAAATATCATTTTCCAACCCCTCTGGCCAGCAGGCTCATGGTCTACCCTGCCTCTCAGCAGAGACAATAGAAAGATAAAATAGATGCCTCATAAAAGGGAGAGATCAACCAAAGGACTTAGGTGCCACATATGAGCCTTACCAGTGGTCAAGGACAATAGGATTTGGGGGATTAGAAAGGGGGGTTGAGGATAAATATGTGATACCTTAATTAATAAAGAAATTAATTTAAAAAAATAGATGCCTCAAGGGAAGGAAGTGCTTTCAAGGGAAAAAGGATAGTCAGGGAAGGTCTTGGCTCCCAGCCTTTCCTTTGGGCTTCCTCAGAGCCTGGGTTTGCTTGGCTTCTCCTTTCTTGTCTTCTGGAAGGAGCATGAAGATTAAGTGATGTTCATTGGGAATTCCCACAGCCTGAAAGAGCTGGGCCTTTCAGGAAAAGCAGGGGACAGAGTTGGTAGAGCTCTGAAACTTCCCCAGGGAGCCAAGACAACATGGTTATCTTGGCTGACATTACAGAATCACAAAATAAGACAACACTATTATGCCCACTGGTAGAAGTGGGAGACAGTGACACTTCTTAATTATCACAAACATTTTTTTCTAAGTAGTATGACATACCTGTGCATCACATTTACTTGTACTCTGAACCCCAGCATATATGTTATTGCTAAAGTGGTGTGTGTGTGTGTGTGTGTGTGTGTGTGTGTGTGTGTTGCAGTGGTGGTCAGGAGAGAGATGCAGATAGTAGAATTTTTTACCTGGGCTTAGGTGCTTCTTCAGGCACAGAAAACAACCGCATTATTCCCACCCCCAGCCTCTTTAAGTACCACTTTCTCATACTTTCTGCAGTCAAGGCCATTCACACTGCATCTGCTTAGATCCAGGCTACTGGACTGGGCATTGTAATTCTCTAGGCAGGAAACAGACTCCAGATATCTAGAAAAAATTGGGATGATGGTCTGCTTGGTGGAGGGGAAGGGATGTGAGTAAATGTGTGTATATATACATATGTGTTCTTGTATACATATATACACATATATGTATGTATACACACATATATGTATATATACTAATAGATATATACACATCCTATATAATAAAGAAGTAATATGCAAATTGATCCTCACACCCTTGTATCACAAGATGGCCACCCCCACATTGTCACAAGATGGCAAGCAGGAGAGGGCAGTTGGTGGCAACCAGGCCTGCAGGGAAGGGCATTTTGGGGGGACCAGGGCTGCAGGAGAGGGCAGTTGGGGGTGATTGGGCTTGCAGGGGAGCAGTGAGGTATCAAGCCAGCAGGGGAGTGATTAGGGGTTATCAGGCTGGCAGGCAGAGTGGTTAGGGGCAACCATGCAGTCAGGAAGGAGAGTGGTTAGGAACCAGCAGTCCCAGATTGTGAGAGGAATGTTCAACTGCCAATTTAGGCTCAATAAACTGGCAGTTGGATATCTCCCGAGGGGTTCCAGATTGGAGAGGGTGCAGGCTGGGCTGAAGGACAAACCCCCACCCAGTGCACAAATTTTGTGCACCGGCCTCTATAATAATAAAAGCATAATATGCTAAATAGACCTGATATCTTCTGGACCACCTTCTGGATGAAGCCACAGTGGTAGGGGCTAAAACCCTTGAACGAATTTCATGCATCGGGCCTCTAGTGTGTGTGTGTGTGTGTGTGTGTGTGTGTGTGTATTCCCATGTTCACATTTGAAAACATTTGTGTTTCCTAAACAAAAATCTATACAGCCGAAACCGGTTTGGCTCAGTGGATAGAGCGTCGGCTTGCGGACTCAAGGGTCCCGGGTTCGATTCCGGTCAAGGGCATGTACCTTGGTTGCGGGCACATCCCCAGTAGGGGATGTGCAAGAGGCAGCTGATCGATGTTTCTCTCTTATCAATGTTTCTAACTCTCTATCCCTCTCTCTTCCTCTCTGTAAAAAAACAATAAAATATATTAAAAAAATAATAATAAAAAAAAAACCCCAAAAATCTATACAGTAAAAAGAAGCAGCCTAGAGGGCAATAGATGCTGGTCTGAGTTAAATATTTGCTCCAAGATAATCCATAAAGTAGAAAGTCCACTCACTGGTAACTGAGTGTTGACTCATTTCATCTTTCTTTCACTAGACCTGCTCAAAAGAGGCAGAATTGCCAGCCTCAGGTTCCTTTTCCATTTTCAGTCAACTTTCAAAATGAATGCTAAAGTGGGCCTCAACTGAAGGAGGAGTGGAGAGAAGCTGAGAGTTGGAACAGACTGCCTTCCTAGCGCTGACAAGGGGTGTGTTGGGCTGCCTGCTCCTGATTGGCAGTTCTGGATAGGACTCTGACCAAGGCAGGCCCTGAGTCCACCCCTTTTCCCTGAGCAGCACCATCTTTACAATAAGTCTTGACCTCTCACTATCCCTCATTGGAGAGGAGACCAGGGTGGTCAGAGTCAGTGCTTTCTTTTAAAAAAATATATATTTTTTAATTGATTTCAGAGAGGAAGGGAGCAGGAGAGGGAGATAGAAACATCAGTGATGAAAGAGAATCATTGATTAGCTGCCTCCTGCACACCCTCTTACTGGGGGTCGAGCCTGCAACCCAGGCATGTGCCCTGACCAGGAATCAAATGGTGACCGCCTAGTTCAAAGGTCTACACTGAGCCACTGAGCCATGCCATCCTGTCTTCTATCCTTTATGGACCGAATGTTCTCAGCATGCTCCAGAGTCCAGGGGAAGGGGTGAAGGGCTTGTGGCATTAACAATGGTATGAAGGCCCCTCACTCCTTGCCTGTCCTTTCCTCTCAATCCTGCCTCATCCCCCTGCCAGGGTAAACTACCGGAAGTTAAAGCAGTGTCCAGAAGGGAAATCATTGCAATGTGACATTCATCTCTGTTCCATAATAACCCCTCTAATAGAAAGTCCAGCTTCATGCAAAATCATACACAAATAACTAGAGGCAAAGACAGACAAACAGGTGCTGCCAGGCTAAGCCACAGTCAGTCATCCATTATTGGATGGAGAGAGGACACAGCCAGTCTTGGTGGCCCAGTGCTTCCCTAGAGCATGCTGAGTCCAGAGGCAGCCAGGCACCAGTGAAATCCTCTCTGGGCCTACCGCTGCTGGGTCTTCATACGTCTTGAATTTCTCTCCTTGAGAAGTTCCCCTGCAATTAATCCCCTATCCCTATGTCTGGCAGAGAGCCCAGCACACAATAGGTGCTCCTCATTGGTTGACTCTTCTATTCAAAAACAAGTATTTATTACTTATTAGGAGCTGGTACTATTCTTGGTGCTAGGGACAAAGCAGTTACCAGTAAACGGTAACATCCCTATCCTTATGGAAGTTAAATAGTAGGGGTGGAAATGGGCAGCAAATAAATGATTCCTAGTCAGTAAATATTTGTTGACTATAAAAGACTTTTTATGTTTTTTTTTTTAGACACAATGTGATTTGGAGTCAGACAGTCCTGGGTGCACGCCCCGCTTCATCCACTAGTTTTTGGCAAATTACTCATCCCTCCGAGGCTTGGTTTCCTCATCTGAAAGATAGGTTGAGTAACTGAACCCCTCAGGTTTTGAACAACTGCTGCTGCTCAAGAAATGAGACCTATCATTGATGGATGGGCCTTTTTATGGCCTCATTTCTTATCCCTTAGAGCCCATCTTTAGCACTACCAACCTCAGCCCTTCTCTACTCTTCCTCTCACTGTCAGAGGCTCTTGTCTTTCAGTGATGTGCTAGCTTAGCACCCAGCAAACTGAGAGAAAGTGAAAAGACCTTCATTTCTAACTTTGCTGACTTTTGTAAATACTTTTTTTAAAAAAATATTTTATTGATTTTTTACAGAGAGAAGGAGAGAGGGATAGAGAGCTAGAAACGTCAATGAGAGAGAAACATCGACCAGCTGCCTCTTGCACATCCCCTACCGGGGATGTGCCCGCAACCAATGTACATGCCCTTGACCGGAATCAAACCTGGGACCTTTCAGTCCACAGACTGACGCTCTACTACTGAGCCAAACCGGTTTCGGTTGTAAATACTTGCATTACTGCGATTTCAAGAACTTGGAGCTGGGAAGAGAAATGGCACAGTCGAATCTCAGCCATTGTGAGCTGGCAGGGGCCCAACACTGCAGCTTTAGACCCCATTCTAACACTTTCCTTCGTGTTATTGATAATTAGAGGCCGGGTGCATGAATTTGTGCACCAGTGATGTCCCTGGCCTACGGGATCGGGCCGAAATTGGCTCTCCAACAACCCCGAAAGGGTCCTGGGTTATGAAAGGGCACAGGCCAGGCCGAGGGATCCCACCGGTGCACGATCAGGGCTGGGGAGGGACACAGGTGGTTGGCCAGCCAGGGAGGGACTGCAGGAAGGCTCCAGGGTGTGTCCAGCCCATCTTGCTCAGTCCTGGTAGGCCAGACCCCAGCAGCAAGCTAAACTATGAGTTGGACCATCTGCCCCCAGGCAGTCAGTGTATGTCATAGTAACTGGCCAACCAGTCAACTCTCTGCCCCCTGGTGGTCAGTGCACATAATAGCAAATGGTTGAGAGACCTTAGCATATCATTAGTATATTATGCTTTTATTGGTTGAACAGCCAACTGGTCGACCAGACATTTAGCATATTAGGCTTTTGTTATATAGGATGGTCTTAGGTCTGCTTCTATCCTGAGTGCCCTTTAAACCAGAATCATGACAAGCAGGATATCTCTCTCTATTCCTATCCACTACTCCTTTTTCACCTCAAACTGTTTGCTGAAAAGCCACCTGCTCTCGGCTAGTTTGAGATCTTTCTAAAGAGCAGTATGGACAGACCCACCCCTATGGGAGTCCAGGCTAGGAGAGGACCTGCTTGGGACCCCTTTGGTCTCCAGGGCATCTGGAGAAGGAAGGAGAGGAAAGTCACTCCCTCATCCTGCCCCTGCATAGACATAGCCACACCTCTGGGCTATTTTAAGCTGCCTGTTTACCCCCGGGACCCAAGAGACAGCTCTCCACAGCTGTCACTTGTGGCCAGGAAACACTCAGGGCTCCACCTCCCCACTGAAGCTGCCCAGAAAGCTGCCTGACCTGTGCCCTTTTTCTGAGCTATGGGTCAGGGAAAGCCTCTGAACCATGCTGCCCTGCAGATGGAGACAGGTGGAGCTCTGCTTGGTAAACCTGGGAACCAGAATGAATAAGACATAGTGGAAAGGTCACTTGGCTGGAGTCAGACGACCTGCCACTTACTGGTTCTGAAGTCCTGGACAAGTCACTCAATCTCCCTCGCTCAGTTTCCCCATCTGAGAGTGGCAGTACTATAGCTCCCTCTCCTAGCACTGTGCTGAGGGTTGAATGAGCTCAGGCATGTGAAGTTTGCCATGCTTATAAAGACCTGGCCCAATGTAAATTATGTGAGAGGACTTAACCCTTTAGGACCCACCACCTTGGGATTCCAAAGCCTGTTTAACTCAACAAACACAGTCTGAGTCTGTTCAGAGCCTACCCTGTCCCTGTGTAGGAAGATCACAGCCTGCACAGAGTGGGTACATGTGTCCTTGTCTGCGTGACCCGGGCAGCGTGCCTAGGGGGCAAGAAAAGGGTCTCTTTCCATAGCGAGCTCCTGGAACTGAAGACTCTGCTGGTCTATGGCTCTCTGTGGCCCCTATGTCTATATCTGTGCTTATTGCTTTTTAAATCGTTGGTTGAGGGCAGCTTTGGTTGGGCATGGGTGAACACTCTACCCTGAACTCCTGCCTCCGAAATTAGGATGCTTTCCCTCAGGTTCGCTTAGAAATTGGAAAATACCTGAGCTGGAAGGGAGGTTGGAAAGCAGCTAGCGTAACCTGCTCATGCTACTAATGAAAAAAACGGAGGCAGGACTGGAAAGCCACTGGCCAAGCTGAAAATGGCAGGTCACATTGTCACCCAGGGATCCTTCTGCCCTTTGTAGGTGCCACGCCTCCACCCTTAGTGCGATCACTCCTCCGCCTGTGGGCACTGCTGGGCCCCAGGGGAGGAAACCTTGGCTCAGGAGGAAATGTGACCCCACATATCCCCCTCTTACTCTTTGCTTAGAAACGTAGCAGGGTCTTCTCTTAAAGGGACACAGAGAGAAGAGGAGGAAGACCACTTGGTGCTATTCCTAGAGATGCACCATGTGGACAAGACAGAAGGACCCTGTAAGCATGGGGGCCTCTTCACCCTTTGCTCTGGGTACTGGTTCCTCTGGGCTGGGCTGTGGCTACAGGGGTGGGATTCCTCCTCTGTCCAGAAGCCCCTGGTCTAGGCTGAGTTATCTGTGCTGTGACCTGTTTCCCTGAGGAAACTCGGGAAAGACTGAACAAGGACAAAACTGCTTCTTACTCAGGCCTGGGGAAGAATGATCCTGTTTTAGGATCTTCTCCTCCTGAGGGAGGCTCTAAAGGAAAGAGGGAGACATGAAGATAGAGGAGAGGCCCACTCATAAGCAGAGAGAAGGGAGGGAGGAGGCCCTATGACTGGGGCCACATTTAAATGTGTGACAGTGTCCTTACCAGGTTCCCTGGGACTGAACAGAGAGGCAGGTGAGGTCCCAAAACCAGGAGGCCTCAGCGGTGGTTTCACTGCCTCTTAGGAGCTCCTCCTACCTCCCCTGACTAGAGAGTTCCTGGTATCACCCCAAGAAGCCAAGCGAGATTGCTGCTATGTCCCCTGCAGCCCTACCTTGCACGCCTACACACTCTCACAGTTTGGCCCTGATGCCTGCTATTACTGTCCCCAACCCCCCAGCCTGTCCCCAGCCTGTGCTGCTCTAGGGAGGAGGACCCAGGCCACACCAGCTCTCACCCTGTGACGATCTCAAAGGGGGGCAGCTGGATCAGCTCCTTCAGCTTCTCGGGGTCGTCCAGGTTCTCCAGCTCCTCGCCATTCTGGGAGGCGGGTGCAGACGCCTCAGCAGCCTCTTCTTTCTGGGCCATGGCGGCGCTGTGGCTGGGGAGTCACTGAGACAGAGGAGAGAAGGCAGACTGGGCCAGGGCCTGGCAGCAAAGTCCCAAGCAGCTGTCAGCAGCTAAATCTGCTGGGATGAAAGGCAGAGGACTGGGCAGGCCAGCTGAGTGTGCTCCCCCTGCAACAGCTACAGGCTTTATAAGCAGAGGCCACCTGCCCCTCCCCCAGAACCTCTCCTATCTTTTTTTAATTGAGTGACAGAGGGCGCCAGGATGGGGAGGAATGGAAAATCTGGCCATGAGCATTCCCTATTTATCAGTAGGCAAAGACAGGAAGCTGGCAGGTGGGGAATACTTCACCTACTCCCTCTCCCTTCCCTGGCTGGCTGGCGTAAGTATTCAGATATTCTGGTAAGCACCATACTGTTGTCTGTGTCTGTAAGGTTTTTCTTGTTGTTATTATTTTTCTTTCTTTTGTTGCTTTGTTTTATATTCCACATGAGTGAAATCATATGGTTCTTGTCTTTTTCTGTCTGACTTATTTCACTTAGCAAGATACTTTCAAGATCCATCCATATTATTGCAACTGTCAGTTTTTTATCTTTTCTTATGGCTGAGAAGTATTCCATTGTATGTATGTACCACATCCTCTTCATCCAGTCACCCACTGGAGGACATTTAGGTTGTTCCTATATCTTGGCCCCTGACAATAATGATGTAATGAATATAGGGGTACATATATCCTTATGGATAAACTAGAGGCCTGGTACATGAAATCCGTGTACAGTGTGTGTGTGTGTGTGTGTGTGTGTGTGTGTGTGTGTGTGTCCCTCAGCCCAGCCTGCACCCTCTCCAATCTGGGACCCCTCCAGGGATGTCCAACTGCCTGTTTAGGCCTGATCCTACTGGAATTCCTGATTGCCTCTAACCACTTCTGCCTGCTAGCCTGATCACCCCCTAACCAGTCCCCTGCAAGCTTGATTGGTGCTTAACTATTCCCCTGCCAGTCTGATTACCCATAACTGTCCTCCCCTGCTGGCCTGGTATCTCCCCCCCTACCCCCGCCCCACCAATTGCTCTCCCCTGCAGGCCTGAGTCCCCCACAACTGTCCTTCCCTACAGGCCCGGTCACCCCCAACTTCCCTCCTCTGCCAACCTGGTCACCCCTAACTGCCCTCCCCTTATGCTTGATTGCCACCAACTGCCTTCCTTGCAGGCCTGGTCTCTCCCAACTACCCTCTCCTGCTGGCCATCTTGTGGAAGACATTTTTGACCACATGGGGACAGCCATCTTGTGTGTTGGAGTATGGTCAATTTGCATATTACTCCTTTATTAGATAAGACTAGAGGCCTGATGTATGAAATTTGTGCAAAAGTAAGCCCTTGCAACTCCAGCTGCCCCAGCCCTCACAGCCCAGGCTTTGTCTGGAAGATCATCCAGACAGTTGTTCTGCTGTTTGGCCATTCAGTCAACTTTATTATTATAGATGTTTTCAAATTTTCCTGGTACTCAGAAGAGGCATTGCTAGTGATATGGTAGTTCTACTCTTACTGTTTTGAAGAAACTTCATACTATTTTCAGTAGTAGTTGTATCAATTTATATTCCCTCCAGCAGTGTATGAGGATTCCCTTTTCTTCACATTTTCTCCAACACTTACTGTTTCTTGTCTTATTGATAACAGCCATTCTGAAAGGTGTAAGGTAGTATTTCATTGTGGTTTTGATTTGCATTTCCCTTATAGCTAGTGGAGTTGAGTATCTTTTCATGTCTGTTGCCCTTTTGTATGTATTCTTGGGAAAAGTGTCTAATCAGGTTCTCTGCCTATTTTTAATTGAATTGGCTGGATTTTTTGTTATTGTTGTTGAGTTGTATGAGTTCTTTCTATAATTTGGATATTAGCACCTTATCAGAAATATTGTTTGCAAATATCTTTTCCCATTCAGTTGGAAGCCTTTTTGTTTGTTGATGTTTCTTTTGTTTTGCAGGTTTTTAGTTTGATATATTTCATTCATTTATTTTTGCTTTTACTCCCCTTGCTGTTGGGGTCAAAGTCATAAACCCTTCCCGAAGCCAAGATCTATAAATTGAGTACCTAAGTCTTCTCCTATGTATTTTATTAAAACCAGGGATTTTTACTCCAGGGGCAAACATTAACCACAATGCTATGTTTCCTCTCAGTCAGTTCTTTATTCACTTAACAAATATTTATTGAGCATATACGATGTGCCAGGTGCTGTTTCCAATACCAGGGATATAGTAAAGAACAAAAACGAAAACCTGCTCTCACAGAGATTGATGGGGTTGAGCAATAAACACCATAAGTAATACATATTATCTATTTGGCGAGCTAAGTGCTAAGGAAGAAAGTAGGGAAGGGGGACAGAGTAACAAAGGAGAGTGTTCCGTTCTTATAGGATGACCAGGGAATGACTTTGAAAAGGAGAGAATTGAGAAAAGATATGAAGGAGATGAGGGAAAAATAATATAAATATCTAAGGGGCAAGTGTTTCAGAACACCTGTGTGTTTGGAGAGTCCTAGGAGATGAGGCCAGAGAGATAATTAAGGGCTAACCAGGCTGGGGCCTTCTGGGCTGTTTTTGTCTGGGAGCCACTGTCTTTGAACAGATGAGATGCATAATCTGACTTATGTTTTAAAAAAAATATACATTTTATTGATTTTTTATAGAGAGGAAGGGAGAGGGATAGAGAATTAGAAACATACATGAGAGAGAAACATTGATCAGCTGCATCCTGCACACTCCCTACTGGGGATCTGCCTTCAACCAAGGTACATGCCCTTGACCGGAATCGAACCTGGGACCCTTCAGTCCTCAGGCCAACACTCTATCCACTGAGCCAAACCAATTAGAGCTGACTTATGTTTCTTCCAGAATCTCTCAGGCTGCTTGGTTGAGAGTAGACCAAAAGTGGGAAAGAGCAGAAGCAGAGGGACCAGACATAGGCCTATTGAAACTAATGAGAGATGGGGCCTCTCGAGAAATCCCTGAGCTGGCACAGTGTCAGAGGATGGATGGGTGGATATTTTTTGTAGTGCTCACGACAGGTCCTTAACAGGTGCCACAGATTTTCATGTTTGGAACAGTACAAACATTCTAGAACACTTTCGGGGCAATGGAAGGGTGGGGAACTGGGCTGAACACAGCTCCCAATAGGTTTGGCTGGTGGAGATAAGAAGGTGGGGGACCCCGTCCACGGTCTGACTAGATAATAGGTGTCGGGGTGGTTGGGAGGATTTGGGGCTCTCTTCTCCAGAGAGCGCTGAGCAGCACGGTGCCCAAAGGTGCCGTGGTAGTTTTGTTTGCCTGGGCTAGTCATGGTTTATACCTGTTGTCCAGGCAAAATTCTCCTAGTGTGCCTTTCACTCCCAAATTGTTCCCATGTAGACCAAAAACTATATGGTCACTCTGCCTATTGGGTTTATTATTAAAGGCATTCTGATCCAGAGATTAATTTTTTTCAGGCATTTTTTTCAGGGGTAAAAGCATGGGATAGTAATGGGAGTGCCTGTATCCACAAAGGAAAGGAAGCACTAGCTGATAAACAGCAAGCACACATTATTATTATTGTTGCCATCACACAAACACACAGCATTGAAATGCAAAGATTGACCTCATTCTCCCATTGATCCACATTTATGGAGGGCCAGGCACTGTGTAAATACCAGGAACACAGAGAGGAACACGGAGCTGCTCCCCAGGTGCTCCCAGTCTCTGTAACCTTTGGGCACCATCAAGCAGTGTGTTGTGCATTATCTCACTTAGTCTTCTCACCCTTCCACACAGCGTGAATCATGGGCCTTGTTCTGAGAGTTCGGGACCTGAGGCTCAGAAAGGTGAAGCGATTTGTGCAAGATTACACAGGTAAGTCCAGTCTTCTGAGCCCAAGTTCCTAGTTCCAGGACTGCACCCAGCTAGCTCTGACGAATACATCTCCATACCGTTATCAACACCGCAGCTACAGTGATGTGCTCGGATGGAGGGAGGAAGAGTCCTCGCGGTTCCCCTTCCCCCTGAATTCTTGCCTGAGGACAGTTCTTATATTTCATCTGTCATGTGTAACCCTCAATTGGGAGGGGGGAAAAATCTACTTTTAATCTCCATCTCAGCCCTTGATTCACTGTGTGGTTTTGACCAAATCACTTAGCACCTCTGGGCCTCCCTGTTCACACCTTTCTTTTCCAGGAAGGCCCAAAGGCAGGAAACGAGAGGAGGGCTGGCTCGCAAGCATCGCAGGGCGGAGACGAACAGTGTGGTGTAAATGTTCTGACCAATGATGTTGGGAGGAGCAGAGGTGGTCCCTGGCTTGTCCCCTGACTTCCACCACCCATGCACTGTTTTTCCTTTGATACTGAGTGAGCTCCCCAGACCTTCCCCTGGACTGATGACTGACAGCTTCCTTTTTCCACTGCTCCTTTCCAGCCTTCCCCTGACCCTCCTCTCCCCACCTCCCCTCCCCATCTCTGGAGGCCCTGGACAGCTCTGGCTATTTATGGCACCTCCTGGGGGCCCGGGGCCTGGATTCCTGGCTGGTCCTTAGCTCTTCTTTCCAAGTCAAAAGAGCTTCCCCTATGGCCCTAGAATGTGGCAGCTAATCTGGGGATCAGATACCAGGAGCCTGACTCCTCCTCCTCCTGCAGCTGCCACTACCCTGTTTTTAGGGCAGGCATTCCCACCCCCATGTTAGCACTGCTGAGTAAGTTTTTTCAATATGGCCCTCTTGCAAGGAGGACACTGGGAGGTATGGCTTCTACTTTAAGATCATACCAGGAGTTAGTGGGATGCTGGGATTTGAACCCAGTTGTGTCAGCCTCCAAGTCCCATGCTTTTCCCACTGTGCTATCCTGCCTGGAATTCAGTTACAGTGAGAGCGGACTCTAGTCTACACAGGTCCCATAAATGAACTCCTCACAAGGAGTAGGCAGTAGTATTGTCCTCATTGTTTTGGTGAGAAAATTGAGACCAGAGAGGTTAAGTGTCACGTAGCTAGTGAGAGCTCTGTGCTTCCAAACAGATGCTCTCAACCCGTTTATAC